GAAAGAGAGAGTACTGGGATAAACGTGAAGCAAAAAGCTCCAGAGAAAGAGACGGGAATGTATCGACACAGAAAGAGAAAGTTGTACCGAAACGGGGTAGAACAAGAAAAGAAACTAGGAGGAACAAGCTACAACCAGAGGACAGAGATAGACCAGCCAGAGTGGGGGTGGTAGGGGTGAAAGCCAGTCGTGAAAATAAAAAATACGAGAGCTGACAGGGATAATTTCATGAAGGGTCGGACGGGGAAGGTAAATCACCAGATAAGAGGAAAAATGGTAGCACATCCTGCCGAAAAAGAAAAGACGAATAAAAGTAATTGAAATCATAGAAAATTCAAACGGCGAAGCAGGAACCAAGAAGTAGAAACGTTTCGGTGAAGTGAGGAGGAAAAGAAAAGGACGACGATAGAAAAATGAAGCGTGATTGGCTGAAGGGAAGGCGGGGGCCGAAGAGGAAAATTAAAAAGCGTGAAACAGAAATGAAAGAAAGAAGAGCTTGCGCGTTAAGGGGATTGTGTTTCTCTCTCCCCGAAGCCGAGTGCCAGCCTTCTGCTGCTCAATGACTCTGCAAGTACCGTCAGACGGAATGCTTGTCCCCGTAATTGAATCGTTGCGACGAAGAGGAAAGAAATGAAAGCGCGAGAAAGACTCGCCACCGTTGTCTCCTTGAAAAATTCTCTCTTTCCCCGTGTAATATTTATTCTTGGCACCGGGACGCCCCGAGGCGAACACGGGGTAAGGAAATTAATCCTTCGAACGTGATGTCCTCGAGGCGGCGGCACGTGTTATGGAAATTATGTATATGCAGTCGGAATCGACGACGATTTTATAATCCCTGTCCACGGTCTAAAATAATCGTGAGCCTTAGGTGAAAATGGACAGGCGTTACACAACGGAAATATTCTACCCCGTCGATGAAACTGATATACACACTGTGGGTAAGAAAAAGAAACATCCCATCCATTATCGTTTAAAGATATCAATTTGAAAAATTCATCCTTTTCGGTCGAGGAAATTAACCCTCGCGTTCCTATGGCCGGCTGAGTTAAGTGACCCATCGGTAAGCATGGTTACCGAACTTTTTATACATCGATGAATCGAATATATCGAGATTGTGATGAGTCACGATTGACCCTGCCACCGTCTTTAACTGTCCGTGACCTAAGGGTTAAAAATGAAGAATCAAGAGTTGATTATTTGGGTTTAGGGAATTCCGCGAATGTTACGCATAAGATCTGTTTAACGAAAATGTAAATCGAAATCGCTTACTCATTTTCGTTACGTTATTCTTTTAGGACGATGGTAGAACGCATGCCGGTAGAAGCCGGGAAACTTGTGGCGGGGTCGGACGAAATGTCGCTAACGCCTTGATCAACCTTGGTCTGAACACCACACGGTTGATATCTGTCGTTGGTGACGACCAACCAGGGAATGCTATAATTAAGAGTCTGGGAGACGGTGGCCAGACCGTCGAGCGATTGTCGGACGTGAACACGGCTAGGTATGCGTTCACTTTTACCCCATAATAAAACGCAGCAGCGATGCAACCGATTTTTTCTCTTTTTTCACCGATTCACACCAATACGGTTTAATTAGTATCGCGTCGATTGATTCGTTCGTTGAACATTGATTACACGGTATTGCGGAATAGATTTATAAGCAGGACTTACGAAGCTGCGTCCTTTTCTTACATCTGCACTCGACTCAAAAGCAATCACGTAGAGCTATAAGCTTGAGTTCTGAAAAGAATTAACCCCCGTACTTGTGACACAAAAGGGATATGTAACTTTTTGTTAATTCTTATTAAAAATGACTAATGATAATTAAAAATTTACTGTCTCACATCAATGTTATTCAACTACTTCTTATACGTTGGTAGTGTAACGCCAGATGGTTTCACTTTGTTAATTAGTGACTTACTGAAAGGAGTCCTTGTAGAATAATTACAGTAGAAAAAGGTGTCAGTTATCTGATCAATTTTTAAATTGGCCAGAAAATTGTCAAGCTGATGATCGGCACTTTGTACTCCGTAAGGATTGTGTATCGTGAGTTAGGTAAATACCCCTTAAATATGTCTATGATAAGCGGTACATTGTTATCAGGCGTCGAAAGTTCCTTGGTAAAGTTTACAAAAGGACACAGCTTATATCTGCTGCAGCCCTCGAACCGCAAAATCCTGATGTCACGAGAGTCGCAAATAAACTATTAGAGATTAAAAGAGGCCGGTCATGTTTCCTTGGGGATTCAAGGTTCATTTTATTGCTTGAAGTTCAAGAGAAAGGACTCTTCGGCAGTGGATGAGTCCGGGGATAGCGAAAGCCCCGTCGTTGGCGTTAATGCATATTGGGTCTGTACCTAACAGTCCATATAGGAATAACCGTTGACCTCGTGGACACTACGGAGACCACTTGTCACCGGTTTTCAATGGCAATTCCTCTGTCGTCCTTCCGGTTCTTGTCGGCGTAATGCGAAGTAGTGTGAGACAGACTGTCTAGAAAATCCAAGAACCCTTTTTTATTTTTTAAACGCATACTGTTTTGGCATTTTGTGGTTGAAGGTGTACCGTGATAATCGATCAGAAAGGCGAATGTCGTTTTTTAATCGGTGAGATGGACATCTTCGCAAAAATTAGCCCCAGTTTCGTGAAGAAGTATCGATCACAGGTGGAGAATGCCAGCCTCATCGTTCTCGACGGTAATCTACCTCTGGACACAATGAAATACGTTTTGGATCTGGCCACGCACACGAAAATTCCGGGTGAGTAGTATCTCTTTAATGTTATAATTTATTTTCTTATTTCTTTATTGGAATGTTAATTTCGTGTGTTGTTAATTGTACCTTCAAAGTACACAACAAAATATTGATATCGTGATGTTAGCACTAATTAACGTGTAAATGTTTCACAACTGTACAGTAAAAGATAGTTGGTAGGTAACGAAGATGTTTTAGAACGATAAATATATAATTTCAAGGCTTTATAGAGCTTTCAAATACAAGCTCTGTACAAATACTTGGTAGAGATTCATTCGTCATAAAATAGAATCGGTACATAAAAATGTTACGGTAATCAATTGTTTTTATAACTATATGTATAAAATTATAATATAGATATGTATAAACAGTTTTCTCACTGCAATTACATAGAACTCTATAAAAAATGGACGGAGTTAAATAGTATCACAAAAAATGCGTACGTGTGAACTCAGTTACACAATGCTGGTGTGTAACAGAATTAACTTTGAAAGCAAATCTGAAAATTTGATTTGCTTAAGCCTTAAGCTACGCATAAGTCAAATACTGTTTGAACACTATAAATGGGCGATTCAGTTATATGTATCCTCCTCTTTGTAATCCTTGATGAGTCTGTGGATTAGGTTGCATTTGCATCACTAAGTTGTGAGATTCTTTGCGCATTCTGTGACCAGCTCTAGCATCCAGGTAAAGTAAGAATGCAGCTAACCAGTGAAACATGAATGAAACAACTGCTAAACCGTACGACCAGGACAAGTGGTTAAAGTTTGGATACATTAACCAATCCCTGCGCCAACATTGTCCTCCAAATATTGATACCGCTAAGAATAACAGAGTGCCTAGAAATTTACGAATCGCAAGAATAAGTTTCAGTTACACAAGTATTGTACCTTTGGCTAATCTTATTTATCCTATGTTTGCACAAATGCACAAAGAACATCCAGCTGGGCTGTACCTTCTTATTAGTAATATTAGTCCAGCTTAGGCTTCTGTGCATGTTTGTGAATACATTATGAATAATTTGAGCCAAGTATAAACTTTTTGTAAGGACAGAGCATTTACCTGCAGCTGCACAGCACAAGAAGGCAGATGCAGAGAGAAGCCATTCATAATTCAATACAAATTTCAATGGCCAACGAATAAGGGTCAGTGCAATCATAACTTGTGCAAAAAATGATAGCAGAAGGGCAAGAGTGACAAATGCCTGCACTACCATTAGCCATCCTGGTAGTAGCCACTCACGAATTACATAGTATTCCTCTGAGAAAATGTGGTGACATCCGTCAAATTGTTTATCAAATTGATAATATGGATATCTAAATTGTTCAAAACAATACTCCCAAAGTCCCATGTGCTTGAAACTATTGAATGTCTCTTGGTACGACTCGATCCAATACGGACTACAAACAAATCAGTTAAATTATCACAGATGTTATTTTCGCACATAAGTAGTATCGGTCATAAAAACTGATTACCTTGTGAATGCCATTAGCAAAAATAAGCCAGCAATATATGTGATCATACCGCCAAACACCATCGCGTCTAGAAAAGTGTAATGAAAAATTAATAAAGGTTAAAAATTTTTTCTCAAATCAAGTCAACTATTTAAAAAACAATACTGCTTACTTGACGCACGGTGATATTCTTGTTTATCGACAGACATTGTCGATTCTTTGTTTTTCTGTATATGAAAATTAAAATCAAATCTACCCTATCAAAAACTTTGTTTATAAACTAGAAAAACACACTTCTCGTAAGCTTGCCACACCTCTCATTGTTCCACTGCAGCCAACAATTCAATTCAACTGATATTCTGTAAGATGGCTGGCCTGTAATCTGTTCATTAGCCAGTGGTTCTCAAACTGTTGTTCCTTTTTAAAATTAGGCGCAAGATATAATTACCCGAAAAAGTAATTCATTTTTCAATTATTACTTTTATAACAAAAAAGGACAGGATAACATAAACATAAATCTCTTCCTTACTTTAATTATATCTTTATTCAAGTAAAGATAGATTACAATAGTTTATACATTGCTCTACTTGAATTACATAAAATATTATAAAAAATTCTGTTCCTAAGGACGGATCTCATTGCAAATTTATTACATACACATTCACCAGTGGCAGTGAAAATTTATATTATAAAATCATGTAGTGTTCAACAACCTACACTATATATATAAAAAAATAAAATACTTTGTATCGATTATGATTGAGATTGTTCTCCTTCTTTTAAAGCACTTATTTTACAAAGAACAGTACTAGTCAATGGTACCTTCACATTCTGCACTGCACTATTAACTTCGAGAAAAGCTGATGCACAACTAAACAAACAATAACAAAATGATTGTACAGAGGTATCTCTGTATGTAACATACATCTACATATCTGGTATGTGTAAAACATTGTACAAAAATACAAATCTTTTCTCATACCTCACTTTGTACTTAAAATAACAGCAATTTTACCTTAAAATCTACACGATTTAATCTATTATTGAAAACAGGCTAATATGGACGGAATAATGTTACAGTATTTTGGTACTAAAGTGTTGTGCAAGTCTTGTGTAATCAAAATTCCCTACTCATGTACGAGACTCAAGCTGAAATCTTGTTTGAGACTCCTTCAAGTATTCTCTCTTTTTACGTTGCACAGTTGCCTCTACAAGGAAAAGTACACCTGTTATGATGGTTAAAACACTGCCCACAGCTGCCATTATGAAGGACCAACCAAAAAAGTTGTTTGCATGTCCAGGCATCCAACCATCCGTATTTCCAAAGCAGGCAAATATAACCACTGCCAATGCACCACTTATACCACCAATCAATAATAAATATCCAATGGTGAGAATAAGTTGGACATATTTCTTTTGTTCTGGATCACAGCATAGGGTAAATATTGATACCAATACCAATGATATTAGACTCAGCAGAAAGCACACAGTGAAGAAAAATTGTGTTGCTATCATGAATGCTATAACAGAAACAACCAAAGTTAAAACAGATACAAACAGGGTGTTCTTTGTACATGGACCATGTTTTGTTAATTATAAAGAAAATTAGAGGAAAGTATATAATAATTAGGTAAAAATAATAACTTACGAGGCAGAAGAAAACCACGAATATCGGAGTATCCTGCAGTGAAAGGATCATAGACCCACCTGCAGCCAACGAAAAAACGCCTAGGCGCGTCCATTTCCTGGGGATTCGGTAGGGATCTAAAGCAATGGGTCCAGAGGCCCAATTTGTCGAGTTTCGCGCCCGTGATACGATAATCGCTCACTAACCATGCTGGTGTACCGAATGCGACGCAAACGCAGATGAAAGCAACGATGAAACAACCTACTCCGATATTGCCGGAGAAGCTTCTCTTCTTCATCGTGAAAGATCGTTCCGTGAACGATGGAGATCACGACGTAGAATACAGCGCACGACAAACGTTTCGAATCCACCGATCTAGTAAAGATCCCACGGTATTAAACCACACCCAAACACGTTATGTTGTGTAGTGGCCATGTAGCGTACCATCTAACCTAACCTTGTAAATCCGTGAGGATCCCACGAGCTCAAACTAGCAGTTACTACAAGGAAATGGTTCTCAATCTGTTATTAAAACGCTTGAGAAAAAACAATTGTAATTCAAAATATTCTACAATTTTTCATTGTTTAAATAGTCTGATAAGTACTTACTAAGAATATCATATCTAAATATATATATCGTATATCTATATTATAGATATGATATTGTTCATTATACTAATAAAATTCAATAATGTAAGTACGACATGAGAACACTTAAGGAAATAATGTTCTTGAAGTTTGAACTTTTCTGAAAACTTGAATTTTTAAGGTTTTTCAATTTCATTATAAAGCAAAACGCTGTCAAATTATATGCGGAACTATAAGATGGGAAACGCTGCCTGATGCATGAGAAATTTCATGTAAATTGTCGTAGTAAGAACATTACATCACCGACGTCTCAATAAATTATTCTTATTCGGCACTGTAGAATGTATTCCGATTGTTTCCATTAAGATTTGAATAAACTACAAAAGAATTAAGAAAACAAAGGTGTCTAAAAAATGCAACATAATTATTATCGCATATAATCAAGTCATTTACTTGAACAAAACCCATCGTCTTCAGTCAAGTTTCTCGGAATATACGTCATTTTTACTGTCATTCTGCTTGTGATTCATTCAGATGCAATTCACATGACTTAGTACATTCAGCAACGTTTCAAGTCCTTGCATATCATTAGAAGAATACAAAAAATGAATCATGATGGAACTAGGATACATATATACTTTTGTCACACTTTTATTCTTGTACTGGGGAGTATCATGGAACGCTAATAAAACTACATATAATGAAAACAGATCATGTAAATTTTATCTATGTAATGTCATAGCATATACAATTATTTTTTTGTGATTTTAATTTGAACATTTTCGGTAAAAGATTTGTACAAATTATTGAGATTACTGAGTTACTAAAACCACGAAACAAAGACGCCTTATAAATCGAGAACAAGGTCAAATAATACAAGTAACAAGATCTTTTTTCATTACTTTAGTATATCCCTAAAGATATTATCTGCTGAATATTAAAAAACACTTTGTATAAGATAAATGAATGAGACAAACAAATAAATTGGTTTTGTAAATTACACTTGACTTTGCTATTTCGACATTGTCGCAGTACCAACAAGTGTAAAAACGGCGATACGGTAATACGTTTACTAGATGTGATCGATATAGTACTCGAAATTGTAGAAGTCGTTGATTAAAATAGGAGTTAAGCTGGGTCAACGACTTACACCTGAAGTCGATCTTCGTGCACGCAATCTTACCAGTAACTCACGTTGAATTATTTCCTCCGATAGTAAAATAGGTCAAAGCTTGACCGTATTATGCCCTTTACAACGTAATTACTTCTCTCTACAAATTTTATCGAAGTACATTCATTCTGAAAGGGAAGAAAAAATTGAAAGCTTAAAACAAGTCCTTTTATTGCTTCAACTTTTTATATATTCTTCTGATATACAAGATTACAACAAATATACAACATTTGTTCGTGTCTAAACCATGCTATGGTTTCAGTTACATGTCTGATATTCTTATTTACAGACTCTTGGACTCTTCACATCAGATTCCTTAATTCTATGGACGGATTTATAGCGTTAATTATTCTACAAAAACGAGTACTAAATGCATAATTTACTTGTATTAAACATTATAAGGATATACAAAATATTTCTCTCAACTTTTGGTTGCCCCTTTTCTGGTAAAAAAATACGTTGAAGTTACTACTGCGTTGATAAGTTAATACAGACGCTTGCATGCAATGTAAATAATAGTTATGAAAATAATGCGTATAAATATAAAAATATATAAGTCTTCAAAAATTGGCGCTGAGCTTATTCAAAATAATTCTACATAGACTGTGCTTGCACTCAAAGGAGCCATGTGCAGATTTTCATGATTCCAAATAATTTATACGAAATTCATTGTTGTTATTAACGAAAACTGTAATTAGATGGTTGTATGAGTCTTCTGTTCTTCATTTAATATTCTCTCTTGCTTTTTCTTATATCTGCGTCCTTCAATTAAGAAGAGAACTCCTGCAATGACCAGAATAAAGGTACCAAGCACAGCCAGTGCATAAGACCAACTGATGTCATTGTGCTCCCAATTGGGCATCCAATCTCTTCCATCCCCTCGTGCTCCAAATATAATAACAGCTATGATACCACATACTCCACCTAACAATAAGTTTCCACCAGTTGTCCATAAGAGTAATTGATATTTATCATGATGTTGTGAACAACATGTATACAATATTGTTAAGAAACTTCCTATTAACAATAAAGTCATACACAGTGTGAAGAAGAACTGTGTTGCTACAAAAAAGTCTGGCAGAAGAATATCATGAATTATGTAATATTCTTCTTCAAACACCCACCAACAACCATAAAATTTGGTATCATACAGGTGATGGGGATGTTCAAATCCTTGGAAACATACCTGCCATAAACCTACAAAAGCAAATAATTTATTACAGCCTAATATACACATTAAATTACATTACATGTACTTGTAATTGTATCTGTATTCTAGGAAATGCAATTGTAAATAGCATTTTACAAATTTAATTCAAAATTTATTGTTTCAATTCTAAACAAATGACAACTACTTCAGAGTAAAAGGTTGATAATAAAAGTTCATATTCTTTTTATGGTAACGGAAAAACTACAAATCAAATTACCAAGTCTAATAAATTTCGGATTTTCCAATTTTCCGTCTGTTTCAAGCCAATTGGGTGTGGTGAATGCGATCACTATTAAAAGGAACGCAATTGTTGTGCATATAGCAGCAGCCTTTCCATTTCGAGTTTTGCCCATTATGTCATTCGGTTGTTAATACGATGGTATTCAAATGCTGAACGTTCCGTTCTTTATTATTATCGGATAATAAAAATTTAATTTTTTGACGGCTGCAGCGTGTGGTTATGTTGAAATATGTACACACAGACTAATGTCCTATATACATTCTCCATGAAATAGAATCTTGATAGACGTCCATTCTTACAAAGATTTTTCAGTGCCTCCCCGCTAAAGTTCCTCGGCGCTCTACGTTTTAAAGGTTGCATTTAGATCTTTCAGCGGTTCATTTAAACAGCCTTTCTAAAATTTCGTCTTTTGCGTTTTGTACAATAAAACATTTATTATAAACTTCGAACGAGAACAATTACATATTTCGTTCGATACAATATAATATAACAATACATATCTGATATATTTAGAGCGCAATACTGTATTTGTAATATTATTAAATAAATAATATAAATCAACAAAATTATATTTTCAGTTTGGTACGAGCCTACGGACGTGAAGGAGGCAACAAAAGTATTTGAAGCAAAAACACAGTGGCAGAATGTTCTTCATTTTATATCTCCAAACAGGAATGAATTGAATACAATCGGAAGATATCTTGGAATATCAGTGTCTGAGAATAAACTAACTATGGACTTAAAAGAAGTAAAAGCAATTGCGGAACATGTAGCTAAATTTGTTCCAGTAGTTATCAGTACACTAGGATCTCAAGGAGTACTGGTAAATCACTGATTATGATAATATCAATATATGATACTTCCAATAGTGTTCAGTAGTAATGGGTATAGTTCTTTTCAGGTTGTTCGGCAAGCTCTAGGGACTGATCCCTTTTATGACAAAGAAGGTAAACTCGTTGAAAATACAACGATCACTTCGCGTTTGTATCCGCCATTATCTTATACTTCCGCGGATCCAAATGAGACATTTAATGTAAGCGGCTGTGGTGATTGTCTTTCTGCGGGAATAATTTATGGAATTTATAAAAATATGAAAGAGACTGATTGTCTTTCTTTAGCACTAAAGGCTGCTGCACTTTCATTGACATCATTTGATGCGGTTCCCGCTTCACTCTCGTTGTTATACAATGATGCTAAATATGAACATCATTGTAATCGATAGAAATTGTTAAAAAATTATATATTTTTCTACTGTTTAAATAGTGCAAACTACTCGAATGCGAATTTATACCTATATCACATTTATAATTTTGCTTAGATCTCTGTTTGTACTAATACCCTACATTCTAATTTTTAATAAACGTAAATGGACGGATGGACGTCAACGTATAATTGACTCCTGGTTATCTTATTTCGATACATTGTTATCAGTTTCCTTTTTTTCCCACTGAGAAACAAATTTTTTAACTTCGAACTTTCGTTTGCACCCCTCATAGTTCATGTATCTTATTTTTCCAAATATCTGTCTCTCTGACCAACCATGATCATGAATGCCACATATGGACCATGCACAACCTATAAATATGAATACACAGTTTCACAATGATCTTACAGAAACAATCCTGTACACGTAAAAGAAACATGAAACTTACCTATGTAGCCATTAGGATCACAACCATCTATACTATATTTATTATTTAAATAATTAGCCGACTGTAAAGCATTTTCAGGAGTTTCACTCCATTCTAATATTTTCTTTGCCCAATACATTCTCAAAAATCCATGCATTTTTCCTGTTGTCACCATCTGATTTTGACACGCATTCCATAAATCATCATGTGTCTCAGACTTTTCCAACTCATTCAAAGAGTATATGTATTCTCTTTTATCTTTCCTATGTACAAAAAGCTATCAATAAGACAATATATGTGAATGATAATTATTAAAATAAGTAAGGTAAAGTACCGGTGTTTGTTTAATGTCTCTATTGCCCATGCATGGGCACCTTCAACAAGATCATAATTTTCATTATAGAAACAAAAATTATCACTAAGTTCCCGCCGAATAATAGCTTCCTCCATAAATGATTCAACTGATTTTGAATACAGTTTCTTGTAGTTCTGTATTTCCAAAATACAACGTTGTACAGATATCATGCCAAAATGAAACCAAGGAGACAAATTACTGGTGGCATTTGACAAAGGATCATTACGTTCATTTGCATATTTTTTTAACCTATTTTGTAGAAAATTTTCAAACTCTTTAATACCATTTTTATATCCTGGCTTTGCCCATATGATTTCACATACTGATGCATCTACTTCTACATTATTCAAAGCCATTTTCCAATTATTCTTTCCAAATTTTTCTTCTGTTAAATACGGATGTTTTACAACAGGTGGAAATTCTGTTAAAAATTCTTCTAATTTTGTATTTATTTTATTTCTAATTGTTCTAGCTGAAAATTCCTGCTTTTGTGAAGCTTCCCAACATGGTACAATGTTATGTGCATCCACCTTAAAAAAATAATGAATTAATAAGTGCTGCCTAAAATATTTAAAACACAAAATATTAATGTAAAAGTAAGTTTATTTACTTGACAAATAGGCACATCTGGAAGATTACTTTGTACATCGCTAATCCATGACATTGGTAATTTCAAAGGATGAAAGTCTGCAATTATAGCACCTATTCTATACATTTTTACAAATTTAACAATGGCGACATTTGGCTCCCCATACAGAAGTTGGAAATTTATATTTAATGATTTACATTCTTCTTCAATTTCCTGTAATCCTTGTAAAAGAAACTTATAGTGTCTCATTGAAGCCTCTAGGAACTTTGGCATTATACAGAAGCATATATGGAAGGGTACTTTATTTTTTAATGCAGTTCTTTGGGCAAAGAGAAGAGCCCAATTATCTAAAAACACCAAAGATATATTCAATAAAAGAATATACAACATATAAATACAATGCTATTCACATTTAAAAAAATACCTTGCACTCTAACATCACGAAACATCCAGTACAGAATCCCCTTACATCCATCTTTAACATCATTTAAGTTACTTAACAGTCGAACACGTTTTTTGTTAAAATTAAATGTCAGAATAGATTCAGCTGTCTAGAACAAAATTAAAACGTCAGATTAAAACACTATAATACATTAATAATTCATAAGAAGAAACTTATTTTACATTTTCTCTATTGTTTTTAAATTTTTCCAGTAAATCAGATGACTTTATCCGCTTAGCTGGACTTGCTTTATCCATGTTGGCACAGGTATTATTTAAAATATACGAAGTACTTAGTAAGTAAAGTACATAATTAGGAATTAAAATGTACAATCGTTTTCCTTTTATCAGATACAGATCACAATTAATATTTATAGTTTTAATAAATGGTCAAAATCAATTCTACGGAATAAATATTTCGAGACTATTGAATCATACTGCGTAATATAATTCTTTAAATGCTAGACATTCCAGAATTTATACTATAGTTACTAGATCATAGATAGAGATGGCGTGAACTGCTACTTGTGAATCACTCGTGCAGGGTCTACAGCGCCTCCACCGAGGGCTCCGTGACCCCACGCACTGACACCACGTGATCAATGGCGCCTCCACCGGGGCCTCCGTGACCCCACGCTCTCACCGCGCAGAGTCTATGGCGCCTCCACCAGGGGCTCCACGACCCCACGGTATCTCCCCACGTGATCAATGGCGCCTCTACCGGGGCGTCCGTGCAGGGTCTATGGCGCCTCCACCGGGGCTCCGTGACCCCACGCTCTCACCGCGCAGGGTCTATGGCGCCTCCAACGGGGGCTCCGCGACCCCACGGTATCTCCCCACGTGATCAATGGCGCCTCTACCGGGGCCTCCGTACAGGGTCTATGGCGCCTCCACCGGGGCTCCGTGACCCCACGCTCTCACCGCGCAGGGTCTATGGCGCCTGCACCGGGGGCTCCGTGACCCCACGCTCTTACCCCACGTGATCAATGGCGCCTCCACCGGGGCCTCCGTGCAGGGTCTATGGCGCCTCCACCGATCACTGCGATAAATCACCGTTAGTGATTTTGCACGCCATCTCTACAGTCCATCGCATTCGATTTAAAAATGGCAGGAAAAACATATGATTACCACGTGTTACAGTGCTATCTGTCAAATTGAACGTCCCATTCATTCTCTTTTCAGATTAAACTTTTATTTAATAAATATATTTTATATATAATGCGGGTAGACTTAGGTTTCGTCGAAAAATGCGAAACGTGGCGATTGGAAAGTAGGTTTTTTCCAAGTAAAGTGGGCGGTAAACCAGCATGGCTTAATTTAAAGGATATTCCTGGAGAGAAGGATGTGCAATGCGAATATTGTGAAGAGCCTTGCATATTTTTATGTCAAATTTACGCTCCTTACGAAGACAATGAAACTGCTTTTCATAGAAGCGTATATATTTTTATATGCCAAAAACCAGAATGCTGTAAGTTAAACAAAAATGGAAACCTGAAGGTTTTTAGATCTCAGCTACCAAAAAAAAACGAATTTTATCCGTCTGAACCACCTGTAGAGGAACCTGACTGGAGAACTGATATCAGTATGTATCTTCAAAAAGTTAAGTTGCCTCTATATTAGTTAGTAGAAGTGTTTGAATAATACATGTTAATTAAAACAGCCTGTATATTAAATGAAATGCCCTTAGGTATAATTAAATGGGTAAGATCATGCAAGGTCTGTGGAATATTTGCACCCAATCATTGTTCTAAATGCAAGTGTGTAAATTACTGTTGTCGTGCTCATCAAATTTTTGATTGGAAATGTGGTCACAAAGAATCCTGCGGTCGTGATCCTCTTACAATACAAAATAGTAAACTATTATTCCCTGAGTATGAAATAGTAATAGAAGCAGAGAATGAGAGAGAAGATAATGATGAAAGTAATTGTGAAAAAGAAGAAGAAGAAATTAAAAAGTATGAAACTATGATAGAGAGTGGCCAGGCAGGAACTCTTCAAAATGAAGATGTACAGAGTGAATTATTAAGCATGGCTAATCAGAAGGAAGATGAAATATTTTCTGAATTTCGGTTAACTATTGATCAATATCCTGATCAGATTTTAAGGTATACTTTAAATTGGTAAATAAAGCAAGATTAAAAATTTTCCTTTTCTATGAATTATTTATGTGATTGTAGGTATAATAGAGGAGGAAAGGTTTTATATATTTCAGCAGAAAATAAAATTAACGAAGTACCAAAATGTTCAGAATGTAATGAGGAGAGGCAATTTGAATTTCAGGTAATCCAGTGATGGAAAAGTTTAGTTACTCCTTTTAAAAAGACCATTGTATATGACTAATATATAATTATTTCATATAGATTATGCCTCAATTACTAAATTTCCTCAACTTAAAGAATGCTTATGAATGCATCGATTGGGGAATTTTGGCAGTATTTACATGTATAAATTCATGTACACCTAAGAATGGATACGTTACAGAATATGTATGGAAGCAAGACATCATAGAAACTAATTCAGACAATATCTAATAGGTAAATAATAATATAAATTGTACAGTGATGAAGTACTTTTGTAATGATCCAAAATGAAATACATGATTATTTTGATGACAATACTTTGTTCGGTATACTTAATCCAAAATATATTGTTTTATTACATCTTTAACAGTTAATAGATACAATAATACTGATTCAAGATATACAGAAAAAAACAATAGTTTGAGGAATAATTTATTCTTTAAAATTAACTTAATTATTCAAATATTCGATACCGATAATTAATACAATATCTTCCAAAAAAATAAAATTTTTATAAAGTATAATGTTCATAAACATACTTTAAATCTGTGATATTATAATAAAAATAAAATTGGTAGCACAATGATTGTATCAAATTAAAAGCGTCTTGTATTCAATATCGGTAATTAATACATCCCCAAAAATAAAAATTTTGTAAAGTTAACATTAACATAGTCTACATTTGTGATATTATAATAAAAATAAAATTGGTAGCACAATGATTATATCAAACTAAAAACAGTCGTAAAAAACCATCGACAATTGGCAGCAATGCGTATGATTTATATATTCCTTTCATTATCATACAATATTACTATCTAAAACATTTTTATTAGGCAGCTTATAAAGCACTTTGGTAATCATTGTAATAAAGTCAACATATAGAAATATATATTACATACGCGAATAAAGTTACAATAATTAACACATGTTACAACATGTATAACCATTATGTTGCAAATTATTTTGTCGATTTTTTCAACGATTCTTCAACAGAAGTATATGAGTAACTTCAGTCTAAAAAATATAATACACCCTGATAAATCTTAGATATATTAAAGTTTTTTTTTGGTCCTATACTTAAAAACATCTTAATATGTATCTCCTTAAGAAAACTTGTACATTGAGTAAACATTTCATGATCCTTATTTTGTTCTAACGATTAGAAAAGTAATTGTATAAAATTCGTATTTAAATATATAGTATTATATATAAATTAATCCAATGTAGGACGCAACAACGACGCGCTCGCCTGACAATATTGTTTAAAATACTTTACGGTAATACTCTTCACAGCTTTAGTGAGATTATGAGATAAATCAAGTGGATCCTGTACACACAATGGAGAATCGATACGAAAGTATTCAGGTTTTTCAGATACTACTAGATGCACAAGGTAAGGTTTCATATCTTTAGGTAATTCGTCTAATTCTGTAAAAGCTTTCTTTGCCACTAAGGAACCTATAAGTGGACATACAATATAGTGTTGGTAATCAAATTTTGCATAAAACTCGAAAAATCCATGTAATAATACTGGTACAGATTGCACACAAATGTCCTTGCATTTAGGCTGTGCAAATCCAGTTTCCCATCCTGAAATCAAATTTTATTACAAAACTATGTGTATAATAAATTGTGGCGCATAGCACAAATAAAAACTATCAACTGTACATGTAACTCACCACATATCAATTGAGAGCTATTTTTTTCTTTAATTAACTCCGCAACACTTGGTAAACACGACTTTGTTTGCAAGTAGAATATAATAAGCCAACATATAGCATAATTTGATAAATTATGACTTATGGGTAAATTGAAAAGGGAAAACCATTTTTTTACAAATAATATGAGTTTTCTGCAGGGTAGATATGCATCATTAAATGATCTAGAAATTATAAATCACAAATATACAACTGAAGGGAACAAGAAATTCGCCCAGTGATAAATTATATTGAAATAAAATACAATACCGTATGAGCTTCGAATTTTCAACAGAAAGACCATTTGTAACCGAAACATCGCAGTCTAGGCCGGTTCTTTTATATACTAATTTTATTATAGGAGTTCGAGAGTCTTTTAATAATTCTTTTATTTCCCATTCTTTTTTTAGTGTGTGTAAAACACTTTCAATGCGTAAAAGATTATTGCCTCCTACTTTTTCATTTAGACTTTGGTAGTACGAGTTTCCTATTCAAATTTTGAATGAAGTTTAAATCTTTATAAGGTCTTGATCAATTTAAAATATGTATAATAATACTTACCACAGTCAATGTATACATCTATATCGCTATTTGCAAACCCAAGTCCCGTCGTGCGCGAACCGAATAAAAATGCTTTAGCATTTGGAAAAAATACTTTTATCCCATTTTCTAAAGATTGTCTCACTTCCTCTTGTATATTGTCATTCATTAAAACTTGTGTTTGCTCAAATAAAATGTTAACAACCTCGTCAACTTGTGTTAATAATTTTGTTATACATTCAGGAAGTGCCTCAATCATAAAATCTTTACTTTTTTGCAAATATTTGTGTATTACATCTTTACAATGACTGGTGTAAGAGTCTTTATTGTCCAACCACAAGGTAGCACATGGAATACAGAAATCAAACATATAATATTCCATTTTTATACTGTGCTTTATAATAATGTGTTCTATAAATTGTATTTTATATTTAAAGTTTTTTTGACATAAAATACATGAAAACCTTTGGATACTATAATACAAATCGTTAAGTTCTTTCAGTATAGAATCAAATGAATCATTCATTGCTGTGCAAGACATTTTGTAATTCATCTTATGTGTTTTTTTTTTAATATGATTGTCAATCATTTGACAATCATTTTGTAATAACTTTTTACAAGGGTGACAGAATACTGAAGCTTTTGATATCACCCTCACATATTCCTTTGACAATTTCTTGATTTGGTGGTCTCGATGTGGTCTTGAACACACATGTTCATACAATAAGTGTAACTCCTTTGGGACATCTTTCTCACAGCCTAAACAGTAGAAGAAATTTTCTTTCATTGGTGTAAGGAACTTTAAACTATATCTTATGCTGTCAACTCTCTTCTCTGTTAGAGTATACATTTCTTCTTCAAGCTCCAAATACGTTTTACAGTACATTTTGTTTAAATGTTGAGTCAGAGTTTTCTCGTTACTTCGATGCATCACAGTTGTGTTAAATAAAAATGGTGATAATTGAATATATTTTGTAATTTCTGTATGTACAGCCTTCAATGTAACTGAGTCAATATCAATTGTATTTGAAGTTTTAGATTTCTTATCAATAATCGATAATTCATTAAACCGATCTAATACTGACATTGTTTCATTACTATTACTATCACATTCTTGATTTGGATATAACTGTTTCATTATCCTTCGATGCATTCTTCCTTGACAGTGTTCAATTAAATTGTGGTCTGTATTTAGATTTGCTCTACAAATAGAACACTGATAACAAATTTTATTCTTTAAACTACTACAAAGCTTGATGTCTGAAATATCAAAGCATATGAGGCATTTTTCAACAAAATTTGTGGTCATATTTTCCACTTTTGGGATAAGAACAGTACACAGTGAAAATCTTCTTTCTCCTAGTGTGTTCGGAGTACCAAAACTTGTATGTCTACATATTTGAATGTTCTTTGTTTCAATACCTTCTAATGTATTTGTTAAATTATTTAAATGTCTTGGTAACTTTAAATGATGAATTAACATAGTATTTCCCTGTATTATTGACTTACAGCATGTGCATTTATATAAAACAATATCATCTCTCCTATGCATCAAAAGTTGACTATGCCTATGAGTTTCTGTATTAATGTGTGCAAAGAAATTTCTCATATCAATTTGGACATTACATAATTCACAATAAAAGCAATCCTGAACTTCATTAGGATGTTCAATTTTATTTTCTAATACATGACATTTAAATGTATCAATACCCTCCATTCCAGTGCTTGGTAATACATCATTAGTAACTGAATTTTGCTTTTCGTTTATATTACCATTTATTTTGGTCTTCCAAATGTTAGTCAATGATTCTTGACTTATATTTATATTACTTCTAGAATTTTCATGTAAATTGTTGTTATCTACATTGATCTGTGAATTTGGTTCTTGATTTTTTAACACATTAACATGAGATTTTCCTTTGACATGCTGTAAGGTATTGTGCAATGAATCAATCTTTCTTTTACAGAGTTGGCATGAAAAAGTATCACATGTCAACTTTATAATTCCATTATCTAACAATATCTGATCAGTCTCATTTACACATGTTTTTTTTAATGATTTTGTGGCACTTTGTATTTCATTTGATAGTTTAGATGCTTTAGCATGTCGTCTTCCCTTTACATGTGGCAAGATATCTTGAAGTGATAGAATACATTTACAAAATTCACATCGAATACCTCCATCAGCAAGGAATATAATTTGGTTATTTTCCAAAATCTGATGATTTTCCTGCCGAATATCTGAGTGTAGCTTTCCATGTATGTTATCATTTATATCATTCTTCAAAATGGTAGTTAATGATTCTTGACTTATATTTATATTACTTCTAGAATTTTCATGTACATTGTTGTTATCTACACTGATCTGCGAATTTGATTCTTGATTTTTTAACACATTAACATGAGATTTTCCTTTGACATGCTGTAAGGTATTGTGCAATGAATCAATCTTTCTTTTACAGAGTTGGCATGAAAAAGTATCACATGTCAACTTTATAATTCCATTATCTAACAATATCTGATCAGTCTCATTTACACATGTTTTTTTTAATGATTTTGTGGCACTTTGTATTTCATTTGATAGTTTAGATGCTTTAGCATGTCGTCTTCCCTTTACATGTGGCAAGATATCTTGAAGTGATAGAATACATTTACAAAATTCACATCGAATACCTCCATCAGCAAGGAATATAATTTGGTTATTTTCCAAAATCTGATGATTTTCCTGCCCAATATCTGAGTGTAGCTTTCCATGTATGTTATCATTTATATCATTCTTCAGAATGGTAGTTAATGATTCTTGACTTATATTTATATTACTTTTAGAATTTTCATGTACATTGTTGTTATCTACACTGATCTGCGAATTTGATTCTTGATTTTTTAACATACTCACATGAGATTTTCCTTTGACATGCTGTAAGGTATTGTGCAATGAATCAATCTTTCTTTTACAGAGTTGGCATGAAAAAGTATCACATGTCAACTTTATAATTCCATTATCTAACAATATCTGATCAGACTCGTTTACACATATTGTTTTTTCTAATGTTTTTGTAGTACTTTGCATTTCATTTGATAGTTTAGATGCCTTAGCATGTCGTATTCCTTTTATATGTGGCAAAATATGATTTTGAGATGGCAGAAAACACTTACAAACTTGACATTTAATACTTCCATCATCAAAGAATATAACTTGGTTATTTTCCAACATCTGATAATTTTCCTCCCAATAATTACTCAACACATTCATAGATGAAAAAGACTTATCATCTGCCCAGGTTTCATCACTCTCTGTATCGTGATCAGTGTGAATTTTTTCATTTGTACTTTCTAATGAGTCAATACTGTTACATTCTGTTTCAAACAACCTTAACTGTACTGTATTTGATACTATATCACATTTATTGTGTATGTGTTGCATTTGGTCATTTGTAATTTTATATGAATTTTTATTTATTTCCTCTGTTTTAAGTACATGGTTTGACTTGATAATATGTTCCAAAATATCATCTGGTGTTGTAGAACAATGGTAGCAAAATATACACATCAACCGATGATATTTGTATATAACTATCCCATTATTAACAAGAGTTTCACAATTCCTGTTTGAATAATTATACGATATCTTATTAACCATAGGAGGCTTACGTTCTGTGTGTCCTGTAATAACAAATGTGTCTTCTAATATTAAGCTTTCTTCATTAGACAAACATATATTCTTCACTTGAACTATGGATCTAATAGATGCCATGTGTACCATATCTTTGTTTTCATTGTAATCTGAGGTCTCATATTCATTTTTCAATTTATCAATGTGACTTTTACTTTGGATGTGGTTTAAAGTAACAGACAAGTTGTTGAAAACTTGATTACAAGGTATGCACATGAAAGCATTCAGTGCCACTATTGCTACTCTATTATTTAAAAGCTCCTTGTACTTCTCTGCTGCACAATTGTTTAATATATTAATTGTATAATCACATCTCAGTGTTTGATGTCTCTTTTTATTCATGTGACATAAGATATCTGTATGACTCATGTGTACGGACATACATAAGTGACAAAAAAACTGTTCATTGCGAATGGTTATATTATGTTCTAATAATTTTCTAAACATTTTCCTTTCACTTAGTATCCATCGGATGATAATACGTACAACGTTATGCCCTATATGCCCCTTTTAAATTTAATAAATATAATCTAATCCTTAAAATGCAATTTTCAACTATGCACATGAAACCAAGTCGTTACAGGTCGCATTCACAATTCTCTTTTGCAAAAATTTACGAGTTTCTCACTGTGTACGATCATAACATTGTTTTTATACTGCACACCTGCTTTGAAACGGTATCCCCGGTATCCTTCGATGCCGAATTAAATACAGAATTACTACGAATGTCAATTTCAAGATACTGTTTATCGTATTTTAGACAAATATTGATTTGCTGTTAACATTAAGTTGTAATTACCGTTTATCAATACATTAATTTTTTAATTTATTGCTTTGTGTAATACATACCAAAAGATTACAAATTCCTCGAAACGTTGCGCGCTATATTATATTTTTTTTAAATGAAATAAAGTTCACAATATATTCAAATAAATTAAAAAATAGCACAGAATGCTAAACTTGCGCACTGACTGAAAGTGAAAACGTAAAATGACGACGTAATTAGCGAAAGTCCTTATTCTTATCATATAAATTTTTATCGCGTATATCGGGGAATTACTCATTCTAGGCTGCAGTATCAAGAAATATGTCAGCCAAGCATCAAATTTCAACTATGTTAGTCATTCATGAGTTACCAATTATTTAGTTGCAACTTACTAGGTTTTCTCTGCTACAATATATAATTTCTATTTGGTATGAAGAAATCGCAGAGATATTTATACATAAAATATTATAAGTACATGTAAAACATATATACATATACCATTGAATGATTAATGAAAAAATATCGATATATTTAGTTTTATTATACTATGGTATATGAAAATTGTGTCTTATTTTACTTGAAGACAATATTAAAAAGTTATAAATTTCTGAAATTTGAATCTAAACTTTTTGTATGAACAGTCGAATCATCATCTAGAGCTTCAAATATCTTTGGGACTACGTGACCATTGAAATTTTTTAGTTTCGTTTTAAATATTTCGGTACGTAAAATGTAATAACAGAACGAAAATAAAGGATATGTTCATTATTTAAATTTATGGAAACGTATATACATGTACGTATATGGATAAAAGTAAACATAGGACAGGAAAATGTTGGTTCGATTTGAATCATTTGAATCCTACTGATTAACGTAGTTCAATTGACTGCCTTCACGCGGAAGTGACAGAAATTGCTATTGGTAGGGTAGCGTTATTTTATTACGTGTCATGTACGCAAATCTGCTTTTCCCTACTGCTTGAGAATCTCAAGACGGAGTCCTGAAGTTCTTTGATATTTCTTTAATCTAATCGTTAAAGGTATTAAAATTTACATCCTCATTTACAGACGATAAAACATATGAGTGTGTTATTTTTCATTTATCTAAAAACTCCAGTACTTCAGCAATTTTCAAACTGTCATAAAACATATGCATTGTAAAACTGTTTAATATATTTTACCATCTAGTAATTTAATATGTTCGCTTAAAAATATCTGAATAGTATTGATGATACTTTCTTATTAACTTGGAAATTAGTATGTTTAATAATATTTTAGTAGAGCTATTACTAACATTATCCAGATTTTCTGGTAAAAGAGAATGTTTAATCAAAACAAAATTTTATTTTATATAACATGCTATAAAGAAACTGATAGTTCAGTGTATTTCTTAGTTCTGCTTGGATATTATGTGATGATAAATTTTATTAATGTACTTTTTTTTTCTAATATTTATAGCAAAAAGATGCGTCAACTGAAGGGAAAGACGAAAGAGACAAACAAACAGAAAAAAGAAAGGAAAAAGGAATTTCTGGAGAATAAACAACGCGTCTTCACAGTAGTGATACCTACAATTGTTGCAATATTTGTTGTAATAGCAGCATACGTTTATCTTAAGACCCGTCCAAAAGTTGTTGAGTATTAACTCAAGTATTCATTGTCACTGATCATTAAAACGTAACATACAGTGTATTCTGAGAATGCTTAGACAGTTCCTTAATACATTTGTAAAGTTAATTTAGAATTGTTTAAACAATAAGGCAGATTTTAATGCTTACTCAGAAAGCATTTCATTCCTATTACTCAATAATCAAATATGTATATATATATATATATATACATATATATATACATTATGCATTAATTGTATAACTTTTGAAAAATATTTTTCACACTAAAAGTTATGTAATATCAAAGCATAAATATCAATTAAGGGGATATCAATAAGGTTTTATTATACGAAGATAACGTTGGAATACTTGTACTATTACTGTAAAATCTATCTATATCAAGGTAGTTATTTTTTGAATTTATATATATTCAACTGTAATCTACCCCATTTTTCAAGTGCAATTTTACAAAACATTGATCCGTTCTATCCGCGGATCGTTCTAATATTTCCTGTATGATTCCAAGTAGGTATGTTGTTGCATTTTTTAATGTAACAGATACATGCTTTTTCCATATAAACTATTCTGTATAGTATAATAAAATGCCTAGTGATTTTATCATTTTTTTAAATAAAATGAAAAGCGTTGTTTTATAAAATATTTACAAAATAAATATGAATATAATGTAGTTGAGAATGTACAGATTATTGTATAATATATTATTGTATATTTGTATTCTTCCTATTCCTTTATCACCGATTGTTACCACATATTTAATGAGGCGATGTTGATACGTTCAGGAAAACAATTATGAATTTGATCGGATCCCGCTCAGAGAATGTGATTGAAAGACAATTGAGAACCACTGATATAGCCACATTACACCAATAGGAAGTTAACACGGTAGGTATGTAGATGTAGACACGTGTATTGAACTTTCAGCTTCTACATATTTCTCTGCGAATTAAACATTAAAGTATCAGTTTAGAAAAAATGAGAGAACATTTACTTTACTTCCCGTTTGTGATTTTAACAGCAATCACACTATGGACAAGTTCTGTTATAGGTAAATCATTATTTTAATTACTAACTCTAAGTCAAAGTCGATCTTTATTGTGTAGTTTAAAAATGGTTAATCTTGTAATTACATTGAATTTTTTAATGTTTCTTTTTTTATGATGCATTCTTATTTAAATATTATAAAACATAGTTCATATCACTCGTATCTTTACGTTAACCTATTTTATAAACAAATTAATTTATATATAGATCTGTATATATGTATCTGCATTAACAATAAATTCACTACAGAAACACAATACTTTGGTACTCAATATAATACTACATTAATAATACCAAAAGTATTTCTATAAGTTTACAAATGAAAAATTATATTCTTATGTATATAGTAACGTTATATCTGTCATGCATAGCTAAAGGAACACAACATGTGACTTGTGGTTCTGCATTAAAATTAATGAATGTGGACTACAAAGTCAGATTACATTCTCATGATATACAATATGGAAGTGGCAGTGGTCAACAATCAGTGACTGGTATATCAACAAAGGAAGATGGAAATTCATATTGGCTTATTAAAGCTGGAACAAAAAAAGAATGCACTAGGGGGTATGTGAGTTAATTATAATTGGACTACAGATTTTTACACAGATATAAAACTATATGGATTAATTTATAAAAACTGAAATTACACAGAAATTGATGTTTCCCTTAAAGGATTCCATTAAGTTTTCAATAAAGCCTTATTAGTTTCAAACTTTTAACACTCAATTATAAAGAATTGGGTATGCTGTCAATGCATAATATCTGTAGTTCGATCATAAGACTGAAATATTTGACATATCATTTCATAAAAATCATTTGTAACAGTATTCCGATTAAATGTGGAGATATCATAAGGCTAGAACACATAACTACAAAGAAGAATCTTCATTCGCATCGTGTTAGCTCACCTCTTAGTGGTAAACAAGAAATATCTGCTTATGGGGATAGTAAAGGAGAAGGTGACAATGGAGACAATTGGCTTTTAGTATGTCGAACTGAATTTTGGAAAAGGGATGATCCTGTTATGTTGAAACATGTAGACACAGACACGTGAGTTACTTAGTGTTGTTAAAATGGTTAATTTTTTAAATTTTATTGTAGTCAAATTTAAGAAAGTGTACTTTAAGAACACCTTTATTTTGTAGATACTTAGCAGTAAGTGGAAGAGTTTATAGTAATCCAATTAGTGGTCAAAGTGAAGTTGTAGGTGAATATTCTCCCAGTAGTCCCCATGTGGAGTGGATAACGACAGAAGGAGTATTCATTCATCCTAATGACTTTAAAGCGCAACATCACGCACATACAGAATTATAAAACTTATTTCCTTAGAGATACAATTTTTTATGGTAACTAATATTACAAATAACTTCATTGTATATTCTAAAGAATGGAAGTCTATGTCAACTTTGTTTTAAATTTTTTATTACAGATTAGTGTCTGATCTGTATTTCTGCGAGAAAGGATTTACCTAAACAGTGCTTGGATTAAATTGATAGAAAAGTAATTCTTCCATTGCAGTACCGCATGAGAGATCATTTAGGAAGCAATAAACTTAGAGTTATTTATTATTCCTATGATTTACATAAAAGCCAAATAATATTACAAATAATTATACCTTTAATACAACTTTATTACGAATATAATTTTGAAAACGATAAGTCACTTCATTGTAAAACACTTTTTTTCATAGATTCCCAACAAAATTTTATAAAGAGTGCAAAGCAGTATGATTTCATCAGTGTAAATGTAAATGTGTGAATGTGTGAAATATATGTGATATTTATTACAATATAATAAAACTTACAATAAATAAAAAATCTATATTTAATTTTCCGTATGTACAAATACATACACATCAAAATGTAAAAACATTTGTAATTTATGTTTGTTACTACTTCCTTAGAAGTTTTTTTTATGCTTTCATCATTGATTATATCTCCACACATGTTTTAGCAATATACTTATACTTGTTTGAGTTCATACTTTTCATTTAGATCTCTAGTTCGTGTAAGACCATTATATGGGAAAATAATGTTTAAAAGACCATAACTGCCAAAAATTTCCATTAAATTTTGTTTTCCTGATATACTGGAGTACCTCTGTTTACCACTCATACAACTGTGTAATTTCCATGTTGCATATACTAAGCAAATGAATAAAATGGAAACTAATATATCAAACATTGTCACTAGTAATATGTAACTGTTTTCTCTAGAATATAATAATTTGACTAGAGCAATAGGGAAACAAAAGTTTAGAAACATATTAAAAGAGTCTATATCTGTCCTTATCACACGATTAATATTTTCATATAAATATGGCCCAAGTGTGCATAATGAATATATACATGTTAAGGATGTGTAAAAACAAAATAAAATGAAATTACTAATATTTTGTCGTAGTACACAGGCACCTAAGAAGAAACAATGATGATCACGAGAATGAAAACACTTTCTGCAAAAGTTGCAGTGTTGTGTTGCCCTGGATGTATAACTAATACACTTTTCACAGTACCAATATTTATATTTTGCATTGCTTGCCACTTTATACCATACTGATTTTTTTTCCATTGTTCTAACTTTCATGATTGATGCATTACGACTTATATTGTACACTGAGTACCAATTCAGGTATACTTGAATGCAAAATATTACAAAGACTGGAGGAACTTTTCCACTAATGTATATAGTCAGAACAATAACGATTAAGCTATACAGTAGAGTAATAAATGGACAAAACTTTGCAACAATTTGAAGAATTGCTCTCATATTTTACATTTGCAAAGACTTTGCTGTCTCAGATAGATGTTTAAAAACTTTTATGTAAATTGACTTTGTATATATAACAGACTGATGCATTGAATATTTGCCCTGCAAAAGAAGAAATGCACATGCAAAGGTTCCTGTTGTTTACATTAAAGTATTACCTACGACAGGTTAGAGAGCAGTACAATGATGGATTCACTGACCTCAAATATAACCCCTTCAACTTGACCGGGAATATTTTCATAAACAGAATTACACATTAATAGAATTCTTTCTTAGAAATTCAGTATCGTTTAATAATTTATTTTGTACCAGTATTTTGCAATTCTGTTACTTTTTTTTATGTACTGGCATAATACGTAGTAAGCATCCAGTAATTGTGTTCTCATTTACGGAAGTCTATAATCCAAAGCTCACGTGGGGCAAAACAAGTCAAACAAGTTTTATTTATCAATATATGATTGTTGGATCTTTTAGTACATTGGAATGTAATAACAGATTACTAAATTTAATTATTATTAAGTGAAACCAATTATCACTGTGCATTTCTAATTATATTTTATATTCAACAAATTTTGTTAAATTGAAGATGGTTTGTTTCATAATGTTTTAAAGAATATGTACAGACTGTCATTATAGATTATATTTCGTTTAATTTACTATAAAAACAATTATTTTTATTGGTGTATTCACTTACATTAAATCATTTTAGTATGAAAAAAACAGCAAATCTACTAATGCAAGTACAATAAAATTTCTGTGTAAACATTTATCACTGTTCAACACTAACTTATTACACGATTTTCTAAAGTACATTTCGATATAACAATGCAGTACAAAAACCAGATCAAATTATACATAAATACTTCCAAAACAAAAAGATAATCTGAATTGTAAAAGTTCAGCGAACTTTGCGACATTTTGTTCGATAAATTTCTTGAATCGTTAGATGAACTGTTTTAAAACCAGCATCATGTATCAAATAGATTTGTTTTCGTTGATATATTTTTTGTACATATTTGTTCATATTAAAATTCTATGTACATTTTATTATGCGCGAAATTTGTACATTCTCCTTAAAAAAAAGTCGATCTGAGAACTTTTATCTATTTGCTTATGAACGTAAACTATTTTATATATTACGATCATGAACATTTAAACATATATTTATATTACCAAATTCTTTTTCTATTTTTTGTCAAACTAAAAAAAAACTTATTTAAATTAAAAAATCAAAATAGACTATTCATTTTTTCTATAAGAAAAATTCGTTTAAAGTAGCAACGCTTATTTACATTTCATTTACACTGCTGGTTGCATTATCTTTTCTGTTATATATACATTCTAAATTGTGCATGGCTAATTCACATATGCCCGTTTAACACATTGCTAAAAATCAAAAGTAAATACCGCTTATGATAAATACTATCATACGTTTATGGCATAGTACATGTAATTGCAACGATTCCTAAAGATAATTCATCATATGCTTATAAAACTATATAAACATATTGTAGAGGGTGATTCGTATAAGTTATCAAAATATACTACTATAGTAAAACGACGACAGTACAAGTAGATGTTCTTATAACAGTGTAAAAAATAAACTTTTGAAACCCTTGGTATAATCTGATGTGTAGACCATCCGACTACACTGTCTATGTTATATTATCCTTCTACCCGTTTACAATCGTGATCTAGTCATAGCTTCACGAGAGCTCGCCAATCGGTGCATTTTGAAGCCATAAATCATGTATAAAATTATACAGATCATCACTGACAGAAACCTGAATTATCAATATAATGATTTTTAAATATTTTAAACAAGAATGTGAAGATTTTCAAGTACTTTTCAAACTTACTTTATATGGTGTAGGATTTAAGTTTCTCTTGTGATCATTCCTCAGTGCTCTTAAGGATTCCTGAACTCTGTTTCGTATTTCATGCAACGTGGGTAGTGGTTCACATAGTTTACCGTTTTTCCAATATACCTACATAACATGTGACGTTAAAGCATTTACTGTCTTTGGAATCTCACACCTAAACAATTTACCTTATGTAACGATTCTACTCGCGTTGGAATAACATAAGCTCTCTTTGATTCTTGAAACGGATGTCTACAAAGAACTTTTTGCTTTACTTGTGGAACTTCCTCGGTAGATCTCTGCAAGAGATCAATCAAAGCGTATCCATCTGTTCCATACAATCTGAACGCATCTTTCTTTCCTGGTATTGTTACTTTACCAACTTCCTGACTGAGCTTAATTCTAGGTTGGCCATTAATCTCAACCATTTTGTAAACACAACCCAACGCTGGCTGTCTTTGACACGTTACTAAATGCGTACCGATTCCAAAGCAATCAATTTTATGGCTCTATAAAAGTAAGGTCTTTTATGGAAATATATTCACAAAATGAATCCGCTTGGTCTTATCATGTATGTATTTACCTGTTCATTTAAGCTTAAAATAGTTTCTTCGTTAATGTCATTCGACGCGCAAATCATCAACTTAGCAAACCAAGGTATATTATACTTGATAGCAATTCTTTCGAATATATCTCTAGCTGCGTTACTCAAATATGCCAAGTCACCACTGTCAATTCTGATACCAATTGCTTTGTACCCTAAATCGTTTAGAGCTAATGCCACAGCACAGAAGTTTAGAAGACCACTCCTAAATACAAAATTTTGCAGCTGTTATTAATTACATATGTATTTAGAAGTACTACTACTATGAAATAAACACCAATAATTTGGAAAACATTTCGCAATCCTACCTAGGATAGTACATTCTACGATTACAAATTATGTGAAAAATTTCAATAAACTACGGAGATTCTACATAAATGAAAATATAATGAATGTATTACTACCATCTACTAAAAACTGAAGTATAGAACATGCACTACCATTGATCAAGTGAAAATGCATGAAGTTTTGAAAGACTTTATATTTTAAAATTACTTTCAACAGAATTTATAAACTAACATCATATGCAAACTGATAAGAACCTGTACTCTATGAAGTTTTTGTTAACGGAGTTTTGAACTTTTTATTGTTTCATCAAGATTTTTTTTAATTACAAGGCATGGTTTATTATTCCTTTGTAACAACAAGTGTATTAAATTTATGATTAGTTATATGGCTGAATTGGGAAGGGTACTATATAAGGTCGTACATTTAGAACAAAAACAATGTGAAACTTGCCCTGTTCTTTCTTTGCTATTTTATGTTATAAAAAAGATATTCGTAAATATAGAATTGCCCGCTTTACAGAATGATTTTTTTTTGTTTTGAAAATTAATCAATTTCAGATGAGAATGTATTTTAACGAATATTGGGTATATGGTATTAATGATACAAAGATACTAAAACCAACTCTAAGTATGTACAATATTTTTAGAACCAATAAAATAAATAAACATTAAACTTAATAAAGACTCCAGGAAAAATATGATTATTCTACTTATAAAAATTAATATAAATGTTAACTTATGTTCTGTAGATTAAAAACAAAATGATTATTTATCCTGCAAAGCAGACAGAGAGGGTAATATCGTACCTCACATAGAGCTCACCCAATTCGCCTCGTCTTAAAAAGCCATTCTTGTGATGTGAAGTCGTTTCTGATATAACCGGATTGTTTCTGACACCATTTTGGGCATGTGAATTGGACCCATTTGTTAGACGTTTATTCTTTAGATTTAGGCTGGCTATATGTGCCTGTCTCTTGGCCGTGGTTTCGACGCTATAAACACACTCCTGTTAGGCTACAGTGTGTATATGTTTCATCATGCCTGCTTTATGAATGTGTAATTAGAATTACTAATGCACGTAGTAAATCCAATTAAATATACTTTTCCGATAGACGTGAAACTACTCATATAATACCTATAGTATTTAAATCACTTATGCACACTTTTTTTTAGAAATTGTTTTCACATACATATAATTCTATGTAAGTGTGTAAAACGTTTTACCTTCCTGAGTTATTTGTAAATAATTGCAGTATGTGATAACGTGACAAATTCTTAAAATCATTGCGATTCTTTGTAGTTAAATATTGAAAAAAAAATTTTTTTTTTGAACAAGGAAATTGAAACTTCAACCACTATTTCTTAGAACTACTATTCATGCATACTAAGTAATTATAAATAGTAATAATATTTACGTTAACAAATATAATGAACTCTGTATATAAACTGATAATAAATTCAACATATAGTTCTATGCATTAATGTACAGAATATAAAAACACAGCAGTGCATATTTAAATACGAGTCTGAAATTACACATGCAAATATTCAAACACAGATGCATACCTAATGTTAGAGAGAAAGATTGCCCAGATATAAAATTAAATTAAAATATAGTATCTACTTACATGTACCAAATATATACGAAAGAAAAAAATGAATAGTTGATTTGGAAAGAAAAGATATTAGATAAATGAAAATATAAACACCATAAACATAGTGTCATACCTTTTCACGTCATACGTGTCTACAAGAGCAACAAATCGTTGCGGGAAAGCAATAGCGTAACTAATTAAAGCAGCTAATTCTCCACTAGAAGCTTCAGAAACTAGTGTTCCTACATCAGCTGCAATGGAATCCCGATGTTTGTAAGCTAACTCCAGAATGTCGTAAACCTCTCCTGTCTCTTTATGCGCTAAAGTCTGAAAAAAAAATACAATTAATTAGGATAAAACATTTCAATTCAGTTTATAAACATATTAATCAATTGTAGACTCACTTTTTCTTGCAGATCATCAATGCCAGTAAAAGATGTGATATATGCATGTGCATGTGTTCCACTTACAGGAATATTGTAAAGCTTTCCAGCTAATACATTACTGGTACCATCAAAACCACCTGTAAATGAAAATTAGTAAAAATATGAGGTAAAATAATTCATGCTGTGCTATTATTGCTGCTACAAAATTTAATCTAAACATGTACAGTTTATGTACTTTTTTACAAAAGTGTGAAATATGGAAAGTATATGCATTCATATATATTTAACTTGACCTCTTAAACTGTTTCTCATCTCCAAGGTAGTTGTGACTGTTACAGAATGGTGCTGCTTATTGATTTTTATTGAAAGAATTTCGTAAATATATAGTGTACAGAGGGATCAACATTCTATAGATTGTGTGGATACATATAATTACCAATTTAAGCGTGCAGTGAATCAGTCGATTATTAAAGAAAAACATAAAGTTATATTTACCTATATAACTGTATTTGGATGCACTTAATCCACCATCAGGACCCTGAGCTCTTCGAAGGCCGAATTCTAACAATGTTATATTTTTCCCAGCAACCATACGGTACCTGGCTGCATTAGTTGCCATTAAGCTTGCATAGTTTACTAAGGTTAACAGTGTTGTTTCCAAAAGTTGTACCATTATTAATGGACCTTCTACTCTTAGTAATGGTATTCTGCGTAACATATCAATTTGCATTGAGGTTTTAACTTATTAAGATTTGATGTTTCATCAAATATGTAATGTCGATAAGCATTCGAACATTAACTCTAAACTGCTGTCTTAAGAGCAAGAAAAATTTCCCTAAATGATGACAATGATGACGATGATTAACATAACTGAATAATATTTGCATGACACATGCATGTTCCATGGACTTCTTACTAACCTGGGAAAAGCTACTGAGCCTTCCTCCATGGCATATATTGTAACATCTTTTGGTGTGAGATCTTTCAAGTATTCAAAGAACCTTTGATCAACTGAAGATGGCATTGTTGACTTCAAATACTTAATATCTATAAAATAGATATTGAATATAAGTATCTTAAACTCTTGAGTGATGGTATACATATACACTGATACTTACCACTAGCAGAATATTGAAATTTCTCTAAAAATTTAATACATTCCTCTAATCCTGCAAAGATGGTAAATTCCCCTTGAAATGGATTTTTGCGAAAGTATAAGTCAAACACAGCATGGTCATTCATTTTTCCACTTTTCCAATAAGCATATGCCATTGTAATTTGATATAAATCTGAAAGTATGACATTTACATTTTAAATAAGGAATACAACAAAGTATTTTAATGTAGGTACTACAAACAAACATTTATGATACATTTAAACGAACAAACAAAATCTTATATTTTTTACTTCAACAGTTTCCTCTAAAACTTCTCCCCTGCATTATTCCTAAGTGCATACATTATCAAATATAGATTAAGCAATCAAGTGCTCATATAGGATATGCAAAACATACACTAAGGCCAGAAGTTCAGAACACCACTGTATCAATTGTTTTTAAAGAACTACCTATATACTATTAAAATTCTGCTGAATGAATTGATCTTACTACATCATCAATAAAACTACCCTCTCTCGTATTTATAGTACAAAACTCTATGTATGTTCCTAGAAATCTATGAAAGATTCATTTGAAAAGAATAAACAGAGACAACAAGTGTATTGTGTATCCATCGAAGGGGGCAAGGAAACTTAATCGAAAAGGGACAAAGAAATTTTGCAACGGTTTCATCGTAGACAGCTCACGTGGATCGTATTTTGAAACACCACGTGTTACATCACTATCGCAATATCTAATACGAGTAAACGATAAGATAAAATAGAACCGCGTGTTTTGAGGTTACTCATTACGGTTCGCTGGTTAATTGCATAAATTTCCATTCTAAATACCTGTCAAGAGTGGTTGCACCACGCAGGTTTGACGGGAATGACACCACGATTTGCCCTCGTTGTCTGACATTTTTAAAACAATCTCTTCGGTGGCCCGGTTTAAGTGGGGGAAAATAGAGGAAAACAAGAAGAGAATTAAAGAAAAACAAAGAGATATCCCGTATCCTTCGACGACAAGCGTTATGTCAGTCACTAAACGACAATCGGTCAAGCACTGTTACCGACAAACTAGCCTGTTTCGTCGGTGAACATCGTATTTACGGCTCCGGTCTCTTCTGGTCTCTCCCGTCTCTCCGTGCACTCTCGCGAATCGATAGGAACGTTTGAAGGACGTTACGAACGACGACGCGACCTGTTATTCCGCCATTCTCACCAATAGTAAAGTCTCCTCTTAAAAAATAACTAGGAATCGGGTTATCTATCTCGTTCGAACACGTGAACGGCCGTAGAAAGCGTGTTCTGAGTGTTCGCCGCTGCGCTAGCGATCGAATTTTTCTTTCCTTTTTTTTTTATCCCCCCCCCCCCCCACTTCAAGCGCATCTCACACCCAACCGATTCATCGGAGATTCGAATTATAAAAGGAGCTCGCGAAGGAAGACCAGTTTGCACGGCAGGAACTTTCCGTTCGAACAAACACACCGTTTTCAGTGTGACAATGTAATTTAAAAATTATTTCAATATATTGTTAAAAAAAAATTGATTCGAATTAATAATTCCGAACTTTGCATTATATATGTATAGCAAAGAGGTGTATAGATATAAATTATCGTTATACAATATTCGATACTATATCATTCGTCGCCCGCGTTTTTTAATCGCGCAGCTGTAATCTTTGATCAAAATGAAAGTCTCACATTTCTATATTCGCAAGCAACGTTAAAACGAATCTGACAGGCAGGCGAAATTATATCTGAACAATTGATCCTAAACAAAGATGAACAGTATTTTTATCTGTTTTATAAATAAAGGACAAAAAATTCAAACAGATGCATTATAGGGTGTCTGATATCATGTGGGTATATGTATATCTGTTTGCCATCTACTGGAGCCAAGGATAAATGAATACGCAGACCTATTACGATAGAGATAAGCAAAGAAGAGAAGGAATACGTTAATGTAGGTACGAGTCGATAGAACTGAAATGTATTTTTTTAAAGATTGAATTGCGTCAAACGGCGTCGTACAACGGGAAGTCACAATTATAGTACAGAAGGGTCGGTGGATCCTTCGATTAAACACGTATCGTTAGGGGCAACATGTCCCGTACAACGGCAACCTTGTAATAATGATACGGCATTGCAGCTGCGCTTCTTCCTCGTTCGACGCGTGAAACTTTTCAAACGTAGAAAATTAACCGACGGAACTTTGAAACTCGCGTGCTGATTACATGTATGATGCAACTCTTCCAACTCGGAAAGACTCCTTCCGTGTCCATCGATTTCATTGACCGATTCACCGGTTGCGCAACGCTGTTCCGCGATTTCACGAAACTTAAGAATCCGTTTTTTCACTAACAAATAATGGATCTTCATTGAGTCGCGGTTCAATGAGACCCATCGCGAACAAAAATAAAAAGAACCCGATATGTGGGGTCCCGATAAATTTATCGAAATTGCGTCTGCACGCGATACTTCCGTCGAAGAATTCGACAATTACGTGAAACCGAGCGCGCCAGCCAGAACTCTGACGGTCTCCGATAAAGTCCCACGAAGTGCATGAACTCGTGTGAAAGAAAAACGTTTCGCGATATCTTTTGTTTGGGTTCGTTTATCGAAAACGTTTCGTAATGGTAATCTTCGGTGAACATTTTTCTGGAGAAGCAATCTAGAATAGTATGTAGCCTTAACAATGACCTGCATTACAAGAAAATAACGGGGTCCGATAAGATGCCAATCGGTTGAACTTGAGCACTAAATGATTCGCGTCATTTTCGAGCTTCCTCTTCCTTAAACATTCTACAAAACCATGTGTATCGCGGCATATTAAATTTAATCGAGCGATTTCCGAGCGTCAGAGAACGGCAAGCCTCTCTTATCAGCGTAAACACGTCGGTTTGACGACAACAATTGTAAACGTCGTTCCAATTAACTGACCTTTAACCGCGACTGTTACGATACCCCGTCGAAATGACTTCAACGCGAATTCGGGGAACAAATTGATCTTTTAATTGGACAGACAAGCTTGTTCGCGTTATAGATATATCGTTCGCGAATAGTTTGGAGTGATTCAATGTCAGGGAAACAACCTTCGGCGGATAACTTTTCCTGTCACGACTGTAGCTACGAGACCCTTCGATTTTCTGCTTAAAATAAGTTCGAACAATTATTTTGCCAGGTTCGAAACGGACGATCGCAGTTAACTCGAATCACTAATTTCTGCCGACTGAATTCGACGGAAGGGGAAGTAGACGATCTATTCCGAGCGATGACTCGTGTCTTCCTGTCTCTTATACGAATAAAAAAAAGAATAATAAAAAGGGTCAGGTCAACCGAAATCGCTATGCCGTTTCGTTTCAGGATCCATTCGCCACGCGAAAGTATACACAGTGGGTGTAAAAAGTATTCGTACACCCTTTAAAACGGAACAACTCTTTTAAAATTGGTCCAAATGAGTTGAGTTTTTTTTGTGAAGTTAGACATTAATTTACTAAATGATGTGAAAAAAAAATTTGAAAAAGTTGTAAAACACGACCTTTAATATTTTCTTCGCGATTCGGACCAATTGCAATTTTTTCAAATTTTTTTTTCTACATCATTTAGTAAATTAATGTCTCTAACTTCACAAAAAAACTCAAGTCATTTGGACTAACTTTAAAAGATTTGTTCCGTTTTAAAGGGTGTACGAATACTTTTTACACTCACTGTATGTACCTACATAAAACAACGAATCCATATGTACTGGTATAGTTTTCGAGAAACACGGCGTTACGGACTGACTCATCTACCGGATCGAAGCACGAACGAAATAGTTCGCTTGTGTCGCAGACGATCTTTTATAGCGGTCAGAAGGACCGGAAATAAGACTGGCCTCGTTTGAACGAGTTGCAACTCCAATTACCGGGTTCTTGTCTAACAGAATGGAGCGTCGTTCGTTTTGAGGGTGACTAGTTTTTGAAAAACATCAAGTGAAAGATAAAAATTTAAAGATCTATCTCTGTACAATATGGACATTTTACATAATATTCTTCTGGAATGAATATTTATGGTTAAAGGACAAGTCATGCCCCCCACCCCCGACTAGAGCATACATAGTGACGTGGTATTCCGAAGATTAATGAATTCTACATTAATCTTCCTGATTAGACACTTATGTCACAGTGTTTCCCGTTGATATACGATAAGCCATTTTATACGACAAGAAATAAAAAGTAGCGTTAAGTAGTTTTCCAGACAATTGGAAATAGAGTCAGTATCGAGGCAAGGCTTTTTATACAATCAATTTTTATTAAGTGTCACAATTGATATTATCGATAACGTATACCTTGATTCTACGAATAATTATCCAGTATTTGTCTGCTGAAATACGCTACGTTAGTTCACTGGGTTAGTGGCACTTCTGAGATATTGTTTAATAACTAGTTAAATGCTAGTCCCCTCCGGTATGTGGACTTTAGAAAAATACTCAATTTTTGACTCCCTACAGCAAGAGCTGAGCAAACCATTAGATTGAAGGCGATCTCCGGGGTTACTACTACTTAAACTTTGTTTTTCAAATAGAAAAACGAAGATTAAACAATATATAAAAATTAGTTAACTATCCCACGTGTGGATTTGCGACAGATTAATTAAATATATGTTTCCTTTAAACTGATGATATGTATCATATTAACGGCAACAACATTGTTTGGAAGCAACGAATTTGGCAGTTTCGGGAACAGTATGAAAAGCTTGGATAAAGGGGAATTTGCTCGTCTCTGCTCTAAGAACTAGATGTAAAAATTGAGCCGCAAGAGCCAGATCATGGTCGATTCTTGTTCTTTCTGTTTTCCCTTCATTATCAAAAATTGATTATTTTCGTGAATACACGATTACTCGATAATCCTTCACCTACGTAACTATATGACTGGCAAGCGTCCGCAAAAACGTAATCGCAAAATATACGATCGTATTCCTAGTAAAGCTAGGGTGACCGTCAAAACTTTCACGCTACTCGAGGGTTTTAGTCAATCGTTATTCAACGATTAGGTGAAATTTATTTTGTAAATACTCTGAAGTGTCGTTCAGGTAAATTTTCATGTTTCAAAGACACGAAGCTAAGAAGATTTTTGGTCCATTTAATTTTCATACTTGTCGCGAGGTGAAAGCGCTGGTCACCCTACTATACCTAACGTAGCAACGTGATTACACACGGTTCGCCTGTCGTTTAAATGCTACTTACAACTTTTTTAGTCGTTATTTTATCGATCCTCGTACATACTTTTCCTTCTGCGAATTCAACCCCCTTCATTCTGGACTATCTACACGTGTGCGAATGTGTACGTAATACGGAAGCACGGGCTATGATTTCTACAATTACACGACTCCTCTAAAATTATCTAGATCCCCCCTAAAACTACTCAGACTTCAGTTAACATTTACTTTAATCGTTACGGTCCTGCTTAAAAGAATAACATTGTGGATCATTCGTAACACTGTCTACGTCCTCTACGTCGTTTCATACTTAGCTCATTAATACTGTATCTGAATAAACTAGACTCATCTTTCATGACAATACGGCCATTGATATATCGTATGCTATCCTTACCATTTATATAATTACCCTAATTTGACACAGAATTTTCGTATACAGTCTTAAACGTTACTCAATGATGATGGCTCGTATGTATACCGTGCTAAAAATATCCCTCGAACTACAAACTTTCTTTCCCTCGTTCTCGACCGCGTTCCCTTCCTACCCCCGTTTCTTTGGTTTTTCTTTGGTCGCCGTCTTGTATAATGTATCTTATGAAATACTTGCTGTCACACAGCACTTTATATGGACAAAATAACGCGCTTTCTTTTAGAACCTTCGTCGTCACTCAAATCCATTCGTGTTTCCCTTTTCTCTAATAAAAAAAATACGATTTCCCCTCTGCCCGATGACTGAACTGTTAAGTGAACCAAAATAATGTAACATTTAAACCTTTGTACCTTTTGTTGCTTAAACGATATTATAGTCTCAACAAATAAAAATATTTGTAGAGACAAATTTTGAGCGTGAACAATTCACGTAACAACTGCAATTGTGCCGCCACTGTTCTGCAATTTTCAATTCACTCAAGTGTTCAAGTAGAGCAGTACTTAACCCATCGGAATACGAATTAATTTTTGTATTTTAAAGATACCGCCGATTTACAAAAAATCACAGTTATATTTCACTAAGTTTTTTCTAACGATCGTTATCTCATTCTACCGAACTCATAAAAAGTATCAATTCTAATCTTAAATATTTAACATTTCATTGTATTCGTTACCAATGAGTTAATTTTATACTAATTTGAGAATGATCTGAATAATACTGTGTACACCATTAATGCTGTTATTGGTATCGTGTTATTAATAATTGTTACTTCGATTTAGCTATTAAACTTTCGTAAATACTCCTCTAAGAAATGGTACCAATGGCGGTCTGATAACAAGTTCTACCCTTATAAGATGAAGAAGAAAATGTGTACAAGGTAAATGTAGATAAACGAGTAAAAAATACAAATTTCTTATTTCGACTAGAGAGTTTAAAACCTATTCTTATTATCACTTGTACTATGTACGAGTTATAAAATAATAATCACTAAATTCGTCAACAACAATGGAAGTGTATATCCAGTGTAACATCAGTAAGATAAAAAATTAAGAAAAATATACATTTGTCTGTTACTATTCTCTGTAAAGAAGACCTCGTTATAGCATAAGAACAAACAACTAAGTGCCTGTTAATAACAATAACACACCTAACGCTAATTGTAAACGAGTCAATTAAAGCATACAAAATTTGTGTTGCTTTTTATGTTAGCACCATTAATATTTGAAACCAAAGCTCTTTCTTTTCATAACAGCTAACACGATCGTTCTCGTAAATTAATTACATCTTTCTAAAACCATTCTTCGTATTGACTACCCATGGTTCATCTCATTAAATCTGCAGCTCTCTGCCTGTCTCGATGTACTTCTCGAGGATGCATTCTTTTACGATGTGAAAAACAGTTTCCAGAGCTTGCAAAAGCTTTTGGACAATAGGGACACTGATAAGGCCTTGCACCTGTATGCTGATTTATGTGAAACTTTAAATCTTGATTTCTTTTAAATGTTTTATCACAAAGGGGACACGCGTGCGGTCTCAGATCGGAATGCGTGATACTATGAGCACGTAATGTTGAATTTGTTGGATAAACTCTCCCACATACATTACATGGAAACTGTATTCCACCATGGTACTCTTTGTGTCTGAATAAATTTGACTGTGTCTTGAAGCTGCAAACAAGGTCAATCATTTTATCAGAAACTGTTTGCTTAACAGTAACATTGTTTACTAATTAATAGACTTACATTCTACCGCATATGTCACAACCATATTTTCCCTTAGGCCGGTGAGTTTCCAAATGCACTTTTAGATTTCCCTTGGTAGATATTTTTTTACTACAAATTGGACAGACAAAATTTCCAGACGAATTGTTATCAGTATTCATGTGAAGTACACCATTAGTAGAATATACTTGTTGTGATCTTAGAATAGGCTTTCCATCCGGTCGCTTATCTTTAGGCAAATGTGACCATAAATGATTCTGTAAACCAATCTGAGATATAAAAGATCGAGAGCATATTGTACATTCATGAGGTTTCAATGGTGCATTAGACATTAGTTCCTCATCATCTTGTTGTGATCTATCGTCACTGTTCTCTTCTATTTTCTCCTTTTTTATATGATCAGTTCTGTAAGACAATATACAAAAGTTAATATAACATAATGTACATATAATAAATATATAATCCTTTTAAGTTACTGGTGCTAGTATAAGTAGTCTTACTTGTTTGTTAATGGTAATGGTTCTGGAGAATCTAGTCTTGTTATCTTATCTTCAGTGTCTGATGCCTCCGAGGATTCTGATCCTGACTCTTCCATACCATATTGTAAAAATAACATTGGATCTACTTTGACTTCCATTTCTTCCATGTTTGGAGTAGGACATTTGTCTTCTTGTAACAATAATTCTGATGGTCCCAATGGCTCACCTTCAGCCAAAATTTCTATTGCACCCTGCAAAGGAATATCAATCTAATATAATTTTGCAAGATGACTTCTAACAAATAATATTTTCAGTTTACCTTTGTTAATATTGTATGCAACAATCCCCGATCTTCCATCCTCTTTGTTCCATCCTGCACGTCTTTCAATTTACTTTCAATACATTCCAATTCTACATCTTGTGTAGCATTTGTATTGTCAATGCTATTATATAATTGTAATCTTAGTTTCTCCTGTGTTCTATATGCCATCATCGCAAAGCGATGAATGCTTTCTAATCTTTTAATGCATGTAACACACACCATTTTTGATAACTTATCTTCAGAAGATACCTACAACATAATTTATATTATAATTATAGCACAGACAAGAATGCAATGAGTAATGATAACTAACAATAACTTAGTAATGATAGAAAAATTTTAATTCAATGTTGTTGTAAAGAAATAACAGTTAATGTAATACCCTCATTTGATACAGAATTTTAAAGTAAATCTTAAATTCAGAATTTTAAATAACTAAAAATTTGAGTATTGAAAAATATTTCTATTAAAGGAAGATTCATCTTATGCTCCAGACTCTAGACTAACTATAATACTTTTTTTTATTTACGTTATAAATATTTAATGTAACTGATAGTAACGTATTAAATATTTTACGTGTCATATCTTTCGAAAAACGTCACACATTATTTATATGTCATGTATCGAATTATATTTATAGATATGTGTGTTAGTTATATGTATAGCGCATATACTATACTTATTGTAATCAATAAAATGCTAATTTTTATCACATTTATATTCGTATCAAAATGGATTCCTCCGGATGATTGTTTAGGAATATTCGATATTATTTCTAATTTGTACACACACACTCACACACAAATATCGACGTATACAATTTTCTTGAAAAGATTTTCAGAAAACAGTCCTTTGTTAATTCTTCCATGTTTAATAAATACACATGATTTCACATCTACACAAAATTCAATAACACTTTACACAATTTTTTTTACGATTGCACAAAAATGTCCTCCCATGGATTATATACAAATTCAAATACATACATGTCCTCACATGCATTTACGCGTAGAAAATAATTAATTACATTTTATTTACACTCTGAACGGAAGTGTGTAATTAATTGGTTTATTAATGTCTGCAACTACGAATGATTCTTATGTATTTATTGATAAATCTATGAAATTTTAAGTGAAATTTTTAATGTATTAAATATATAAAATTGTGAATTTTCATTAATCTATACAATTTGTGATATTTCGAAATTTAACTGAAATTTTCATATATCAATTACGAATACACGTACGATTGTTCACGCGTACGGATAATGGGGTACGAGAGAGGTCGATCGAAAGATCAGGAAGAGGGTCCTTCACTGAGTTTTCGAAAAAAAGTGCACACACACGTTCAGTTCAACTATATGTATACATGCAGGCGCGCATACACAGTGATTGCGGTGATTCGCATGGAGCCGCGGTCAGACTCACCAAGATGTACAGATATTTTCGTATTTTGGTCTGCAGGTAGTACCGTCTACCATCCTCAGCGAAAATATGGATCCCTTCGCTTTTTGGTATATCACTAGCGCAAATTCGACAGTGGAGCTGGTCCTCCCGGTCGCGCTCGAAATCGCGACCCGCCGTACCCATTTCAAAATGAAACCAAAGAAAAGAAGTTGACAATGTATCACCCACGTGAAGATGCACACACGTTTCGTTCGGCTTATATTTTAAGCGAGCACGAATGTTAAAAAAAAAATGATGTTACTGTTAAACGATTTCACGCCTCTTTGATCACAACGTTAAATTCATCGCTTATTGTTATATTTCTCCCCCCACCCCCTCTCCCAGTCTCGTTATCTTAGCACCCTCGATGGAAGAACGTCCGACAATAAAACTTTTCACCGATGCATCTTTACGACGTGCCAGCAGCGTGTCCGAGATGGTTGATTATTCTAACGATTTTTTTTTTACTTATGAGTTCCCCGGATTGGGTGAGATTACTCTGGCACAACGTTGACGCTTTAAAAACGACGTCGGCGCCGGGCGTCGGCGTCTCTCTCCCGAAACGAGTGCTCAATACAAAATATATAATAGCATTCGTCGATTTGAAAAACATATGTATATAACCAATTGTTTTATTTATGGTTTCCGCCTGTATTAAGTGGTATTACCGTTACAGAGCGTTACAACATGACGTTGTATCGTTTTCTTGGAGTATATGCGTTAATTAACATTTTCTCGTTAAATACTAGGATTCTCATTCCTAAAATACTACCCCTCGTAACAAATAAAGAATAAAATGTATCAGCGCGGTACTCTTAATTGGTCCGCCATTTTCTTTCACCCGTTCGTTTGTATTTCTTCGTATTCGTTCTTAACAAATCTTCGGATTTATCTTCTACCTTATATTTCACAGGAGTTACAAGTTTTCCACAGTAGGAGTAGATCTCGATCGATGGATTTCGTCAGAGTTATCGGGTATCGTGGAAAATAACGTGCATTTTTCCAATGTTTCCCGCCATTTTTACTGCCATGTATTACTACGCGCATGTCGGAAAGGGATGAATGTGGACGTTTTTGTCGGTGTAGAAAATAGTTCCAGGTACTTGCGAACGAACAGCCTCCCCCTTGGATATGCTACGGCCCCATTTAAAAAAAATCAATACTTAATAATTAGCAATTAATACGTTCCTTCGGTATATATGAAGGATATTTTGTCTGCTGTGGTTTCCAATTTACGTATTAGTTCTGATATTTTTTTATGATGATTGTATCATCCATGACTGGCCACAAACTTTTTTCATAAGAAAAATATGTATTCGTCTAATTTTCTTTTATATGAACTGTGCAAAGGATTAAAAAAGATCATTATTAAATGGTGTGACAAAGTGTAAACTTTTTTAATTTTTGGAAGTATTAAATTATACTGATTTGCAAAGTTAATAAGCTTTCAAGTTATTTAAAGCAATATTATTATTTTTATATGTTTATATTAAAATTATGTTCTTCAGAGAGGAATTACGAATTTAAGAAGAATCCATATTAACTTTATTGTATTATAAACACAGTAAAAGCTGCTAACTAAATGTACATCTCATATAAATGCTAAAGGAACTATTTTATAGGAAATGCATTCAATGAAAAATATGCTGTCTTCATAAAAATTGTCATATTATCATCATATAATACGTATAATAAATATATAATTTGTCAGAGTACAAAGTATATATTTATTAAATAAATTCTAAATGTAAGTTAAAGTCGCGAAAATAATCAACTTATAAACATCAATGGTATATTCTTATTTTTTCCTTAAACATCTTGTCAAGTATTATGAATGTACTGCTAATTTAACATTTTGCTTTATTCTGTATTGGCAAGAATAACTTAAATTCTGCAGGCAATTCATCTTCAGAATATAATCTATCAGAAAAGTATACTCTTCTTATTCTGCAATTAGCATGGATTTGAATTCTCAATGTTTCCACATAATTTGTCCCATATGCACGTCTCGTGAAGTCAGCTAAATTAAATTGAATCTGATTCCATCCATCATCCAATCTCATTGGCATAGTGCAAATAAATGGTTTTACTCTGGTTGTGGATTGATAATTACTAGCTCGAAATCTGCGGCGTACATTTTTATCATCAATCACCTAAAAAAAAACATTTTTAACAGCTTCTTCATTGATAACATACAATGGTTAAATGATTATTCAACCTTTATATCTCACCTGAACTTCAAATGTAAAATACTTTTTTAAATTTTTAATGATCATTACCAAAAATGGCAACTTGATACCCAAAGTTTTCCTGGGATCTGCTGGACATGTAATGTACGTGGTACTAACATTGCTACCCAATATTTCCAGTACTAAACTTTGAATGTCATTGTCTGTTATTCGTTTTATATGACCGTTTCTTACTTTTTTATCCCAGATTTGTAACGGCTTGCTACCGATACTATACAAGATCGATAGAAATCCACTTTGAAATGTATTCTTAAACATGTTCTTTCGTTTGCAATTTTAATGTTAGGCTTTTAGGATTTCTTGTATCAACTTATTTTAATTCGATACATACGTCTACAGAGTTCAAGAAATTTTGTACGCTTTTGATGTTTACAACTTAACCTCCTTTCATTTTACAACGTTAACACTCACTGGAAAGTTAGATATTTCAAATCATTCTAACTCTAAACAATGAATCCATATATATCTTTGAATATTATTCAGTGAATAAGAACATTTTCATTGTAATTCAACATTTTATTCAAGAAATTTTAATCCCCAAAACAACTTTGGCGATAAACATAACCTACAAAATTTGTGTTTGATCAATGTTGCCGTTAGATTTACAGCGACATTCAAAATCGATTGTCTCGACTTTATCGATCTATAATTATCGAAAATTCAAATTTGAAAAACGCAAATTCTCAACCGTCTAAATAAAATTATATGATAAGAGGGATGTAAATAAGATAAGTAAAATAAATGTATCACGACCATTAACGTTTTTACAATCGTTTATTGATGTCAAATACAAACCGATAAAGTTTAAATAAGCAGTAGATGTCTACGTATTAAACAATCATTTTCTCTTTTAAAACGGAGTTAACGATATTTCGGCATTAAAAAACTTTATCAGTGTAAAATCTTCACTGTCATTATTCTACTTCGTAAATTTTCAGTAAAATTGTTTCTTTGTTTTTCATGTTTTTGATAAACGTTATTCAAAATCACATTTTGCAACTGTACCTTTCTTAAGAGATGAATAAGGGAAACAAAATGACTAACTTAGTTCATGCACAATTTTCATTTTCTATAAGATAAGATTGAAAACAAATAATCGTGTATTGTAATTTCCTTGTTCAACAAAGATTCTGGTATATAATCCATTGTCACAAAAACATTTCCATAATTTTATTCGTCCTCTCCTTTCACCGAAACTATTTCTTTAACTATCGGTACAATTCACATTATGTAAACTGCTACGGTTTTTGAAATAGTGATGACAAATATTGTGATCAATGATCAAAATCAGAAACAGAATATACATTGTTATTAATTAATAATTTATGATACAATTACAATCAAGTATACAACTTTCAGGATTGGTATGCTATCACTGTCCGATAGTTATAGATTGAAAAACAAAAAAAGCAAAGCATCGTAAAATAAATATTTAGAATGTGACATTTTACTTCTAATGTATCCGCAATGTTTCTCGAAATCGGTGTTATCTTTCGTATTCCTTCGAGATAGTTCCACTTCATATACCTTAGTAATTAATACTTTATTCACTTACTGTTACGACTAACTATTGTATTATAGTTTACGCGAATAAAATAGGTCCTACAACAGGGGTACGCTTTGATAGGATTCACGTTTCGCTGTTTTGTCTTTCATTTGAAAAGAAACTGAACGAAAGAAAGAAAAAAAGAGAGAAAGAGAGAGAGAGAGAGAGAGAGAGAGAGAGAGAGAAAGTAGCATTGAATCATTTCCCTTGTTCTTTTTTCTTTTTATTTTGAAACAGTGAATCCCACGGGAAGAAGGAAGGCCCACCTATGAAGCGATATCTCAGAAAAAGGAACATTCATTAACTCGTCCTCGAATGATCTATATAAATAATTTCGGAAGGTATCGCGCATTACGAAAAGTTGTCTGAAAGAAAAATTGGTTTTGTAAATAATATATAAGCAGTAGGAGTTCATACCAGAAACAACCCTTGTAAAAAATTCGAAAGTTGAGTTAACAGCATTTTCTATCAGTTCATGGTAATACTTGCAGCGTGATCTTATTATCTGATAGCAATATGAACCTAACTGTTGTACGAGGTAAACAATACAATTCGATTTTTATTCTAAAAGCTAAGATTTATTTACACGGATCATTTCTTTTACGAACTCCACAATTTCTCTCCTTTGTCCTCTAGAACTCCGCGATATGAAGCTGTATTACAGATCATGGTAAAAACAATCGTGTTACCGTAATTTAACAATATCGCTTGCGTAAGTTCTTTTTCTTTTTTTTTGTTCTTTTCTCGTCACTGTTGCATAACATTTGCGAAATCTTTTGAATAATTTAATGACAATAATGAATATAAGATAAGTTTTCAGCAAGAACCGCGGTGATCGTATTCTTCTTCTTTTGCCGCTAGACGAAGATACGATTTAAACTTGACCTCTGGACATTATCTTCATTCATTATTGTGTCTTTTTTTTTGTTTTATCGTCGCCTCAACATCGTTACAAATTACACTTGGCAATAAGACAAAATTCATGACGTCGTTTCGAGAGTGTTGTTACGTTGCTTCTCATCAATAAGCTCATGATTGTGATGCAACGGGACAAATTTTGAATTATTACCAATTTCCTATTACAATTTCCGATACATCCAGAATCGTTTCGAGTTCCTTAATGAATAACGGATGTATGAAAATTTGAATGTCCTTTACTTCTCAATACCTTGCAAAACACGAATATATAACCCCAGAGTGCTTCTAGGCCCCACGAAAAAGCAAATTGGGGCGATCATATGAATATATCACATTACCTTTCTTCAATATCATAGAGTTGAACGGAAATTCGTAGATTTATCATGCACGTTAAAGAGTCCTCAATGAATGTTCAAAATCGTGTTATATTTTGTAATTGAAACAAACATTGTCGGGTATGAATATAACGGAGCAATAAGAATCAGAAGATTTTTACTAATCAATTGAAGACACTTAAGACACGTAACTCTTCAGAAATTTCTAGTCAAATTTTATATCGAAGAAATGCGCTTCGTTTTTCGTACCAATCGTTATATATAAAATAACCGTTAATACAAAAGGTGCCGCTTTGCTCAACAAAACGGTGAAAAAATTGTCGTATGTAATTAAGGCAATTTTTGTTAAACGTATTTTCTCTTCCTATTTGGATCTATGTAAATAAAGGATCCACCAAAAATGATTTCACTGATTCATATGCGCTGGTATCAGGTAATAAGACATAACCAGACATTCTATCTCGCGAAGAATGAGAAAGCCAAGGATTAAATAGAGAAATTAAGAGATGGCCGCATTTCATCTCAGATTTCAATATTCTTTCACTTAAACGTTTCTACAATGTTTTCATGATCATAAACCACGACTTTCTGGAGAATGACCATTTTTTTCATTCAGTTACGACGTCTACACAACTCGTGTTTACCGATTGTGGTCCTATCAATGAAATTGTTATAATAAATATGGTAGAATCGACGACCACTGTTAGGATCACAATCTTGGTCAAGCACCAATAAGAATCCTTATATCTCGAAGTACTATACTGTAGTTCTTTAAGCGTAGAAAAAACTTTTAATTTAAATCATGTCCCCTGATACGCAATCGTCATGCGTAAAACCTACGCTTTTGTACCATTGACGCTTCAAGATGGTAATTGCTCGCAGAAGCCTGTCGGGGAGGCTGATGCGAAACGATCATTTCTTGTCACTTGTAAAAGAAAGGCATTTCTGTGTGCTTTAATTAATGACTTGATTTGTTATTGGTGCTTGAGCAGTTTTCCTGACGCGATTAAGGCACTGCAAAAGACTGATCCTCCATAAAATCTACCGATCTTCCATAATACGCGGTCCATTATGTTAACAGAAGTAATGGCGTAATATGCGAAGACCGAGTCATCGGTGATTCAATGTGTGAAGTTATCGTGTAATAAGGCCCAGAGAGACTGATCGAGAAGTGTCATTTTCCCAGCGATAAGTTCATTCAACAACTGTAATTATACGTAAATACATTAATAAAAGCAAAACGTATCGATTCACGTGCTACATACAAAAAATAATTTAGAAAGACTACGTACAAGCAATAATACATATCAATAAAAAAAACGAAAACCTGCAATCCTGATTATACGATATTAGAAGTATATAATAATAATATAATCGTTTGTACGATAAATAAGAAAAACAATTAAATTATCAATCTTAAGAATTCCACGATACAATTCAAAGTATTAAGGTTTAATATTAACGCTTGATATTAATATTAAACCTATAATGAAATCACTCATGTCCTATTTTCATCACTGTTTTCGTGAGATATCCTTAAGTTGCCTTTCCTTTGCAATGCCTTAAAACGGCAATGTAAATTAAACTTACATTAGATAAGTCTTAAATCTATGTAATTACTTATCAATAGTTCCATCCATTACATTATTTTTAACTTGAATGCTAATATGTATTCCATCTCCGGACGCACCTTTATCCTTTTTCGTTTGTGAATTAGAGGCATTGTCGAGACCCAGCTTGCTTAGAGTCCGTAGAGCTTTTAACGCTGCCTGATTACGACTTGCGTTCCTGGTCGGCCCATTGCCATGACAAACTTGAGGTGGATCTGTACTCAATGTTACCAGCGATAGATATTCCTTATTCACCGCGCCCTGAAACGAATATAAAACCCATCAATTACATATAATTACCAAAAGTTTACCTATCTATTATTATTACATTGATCTGGAAGTCTAGTACTGTGTTGCTATAGATTTCAACGTAATTTACGATTACATGTTATCTGTTAATTTACAGTTAAAGTTACATAATATAATTCTAATATCGATAACTACCTTGGGAAAATCATTGAATTCCACGCTGAAGTTAAACAATTGAGAAAGATATTTCAATTGATCTTTAGGAGAAACCGTAACTGGGTTTTGTTGTTGTCCTCGTAGTTCTTCAGCAATAATTTGTACACTAGGTCCACTACCTAATTTAGATTCCTGACCTCCGTCCACTAATAAAAGTCCAGGTACTAACTGACGTCCGATAGTTCCTGATTAAAGTTAACAAAATTCTCCTTTCAAAACACTCACGTACAACAAATAACACGTATACCATGTGCGTATACGTTAAATGTTATCATTTTATAATTCGCTGTACAATTATTTTGTGTCTCACCTCCTACGGGATGCGATGGGGTTTCATTGATCTGTTCGTCTTCCAGGAAAGTAACTTTTCTAGGCTTCGATTCAGTGTTCTCGCTCTCTCCTGTTTTAATCGACGGTTTTGTGGGCTGTGGTTGTGGCTTACTGTAACCTAATTGAGATAAAAGAGCTTCTGCTGCTGCTCGTTTAGCCAGCTTTTTGTTAGGGCCTGTTCCGTCGGCGGAATGCTGTCCCATAGTAACTTTCATTACGAATTCTCTTCGTCTCGGTGCACCCTTTTGCTCGATTAAATTGTAAACGGGCTCCTTCTCTCGTTTAGCTTGTTGTATCTGAACCAGTCGTGAGACTGGACTCACTTCCTCAGCAGCTTCAGACTCGGAACGTGGTTCCTGATATACTTTTATTAAATTTCGTGATTTCTTCTTCGTCGCCGGTGGTTTGCGTTTTACTCGCATCGGACGATTTTGTATAGTCTCGGGCAATGGAGGCAAACGATTGAGTTCTTTTAACATGAACTCTGCTGCATGTCTTTTCGACACCTGAGAGAAATTTATTATAAATACATAACGTGTATCTACTTTTCAAGAAAATTGAATATTCTATATTCGAATTTTCAGACAAGAATATTCTGAATGCAAAACTTACTTTCTTCGAAGGACCTTCTCCCAATGTAATTTTATCACCGACAGTACATTTCGTTCTAAATGTCCGTATATGAGGCTTACCGACTTCCGATACAACGTCAAAACTAACTGGTAAACCACGTTTTAACGCTCTCTCGTAAACCAACGATACAGGACTTTTTAATTCAGCGATTGGATCTTTAGCGTCGTTTAATGTACCATTTTCGCCCGTGTTACAGGTATTTGCTATTTCTTCCGGTAATGGTAATTGGCGTAATTGTTCTAAAGCTTTACTTGCTGCGTCATGTCGCGCTGCTTGACCTGTCAGACCTCTACCGATAAATTCACGTTCTCCTACCTGTAATTTTTTTTTTTCAATGAATATTACGAACATATGTATTACAGTCTCGACAATATTGGAAATTTTCATTACTTTTAAAGATACAAAATATAATTGAGGTTCTGTGTGGAACCCACGATTATATGTTGGAAAACGTGGATTAAATATTCGAGGGAAATGTCCTAGACCGTGTGTAACGTATTGCTGTAATCCTGCTGGGGGAGCTTGTCGGATAGTATAAACAGTGGGTTCTCCTCTCTTCATAGCCAAAGCATTTAATTCAACGGTAGGAGGCAGATTCCCTGCAAATATAATTTAGGAGTTCGGATTATTTACCCGTGGTCAAGTCGTCTACAGCACTGATGTAGATCTCCTTTTATGTAGTATTCCCTCTTTATAATCACACCTCTGGAGTTTGCAGAGTCTATAGAGTAACGCGATTATAGAGAACATTAAACCCGATTCATCAACCGTTTCATTGATTAACGGATCGTATCTGTCTCGTTCCTTCTCAGTCGTCCATCCTAATCTTTTCTCGCCGTTTGTATGCTAGCAATTATAAGGTCATCGAAGCGCGATTATATAGAGGGAATAATGTAATTTGTAAAAGACACTATGCAACTACCGGAACCGCTAAACCACTTTTCTGGATGCGCTACTCTCATCGCCTTTGTGGGTTTCGGTGGAGGCCGTTGATACCAGGTCTTGGTTAACGCTTCAGTTGCAGCACTATGTTGAGCTTTCTTTATGCTGGGACCCTCAGCAATGTATTCCTCTTGTCCAAGTTTCAGTGTTACTGTGAACCGTTTTTTGTGCGCTGGTCCTTGTTCATTAGTCAACCTATATTGATGCTGAATCTTATTAAAACGTGCTAACTCATTCAATAAGCACATTGGTGTTTTTTCTTTCATGTTTGCCAAAGCTGGATCAGTTACGTTAATGTGATTCTGGTTCGGCGGACTCTGATCTCTGGACTCTCCATTGTTATTTTCATTTGTGGCTGGTTTGTTTTGTTCTATCGATTGCTGTTGCTGCACGTGTTGCTGAGGAGAAGGATTCTGTTGATTATTTTGTTGCTGTGAATATTGTGGGGGTTGCACGTTCGGATTTTGTAGAGTCACAGAGACAGTGTTTGCTTGGTCTTTTAGACTGACACTAACCATAGTACCTGAAAGGAGATGTAATTATATTATGACCAACATCATTAATATGTGTAAATAAAGTTTTGTATAACAATACCGTTTGTATTGTGTGCATTCATGCCCATCAACATTGGTTGTCTTGGATTTCCATGTGGTGGTCCAGGATGTTGCATGTGATGAATGTGTTGTTGATGGGGGGGCATGGACAGTATTTGTTGATGTGGATTCCGATGCGGTAACGGATGCTGAGGCTGATGTAAAGGGGCCATATTAGCCTGTTGCATAGGACGCATCGGACCTCCCATTCTAACAGAGGATTATAGAATAATGGTACTTTTAATTCAACCAACGTATGAAACAAAGCAAGTGTTCAATATTCAGCAATCATTTGATATATATAATTCTTACTGTATCGAAAATAAAACATATATGTACATATTATACAATACTACTTAAAGCTATATGTTATTATTTCTATATATAAATAAAAAAATGGAAAGAAGGATTGCATATACAAAGTCTTTACAAACCTATTATGATCTCGAAGCTGGTTTTGCATTGTATGATGTTGGTGACGTATCATTATATAAAAAGTTATGCAGGATCTGAAATGAAAGGGTATTAAACAATCTATAGAAAACATCAACAAAACCATATATAGAAAATATATTTAACATAAAAGTTTACAATTTACAAATAACATTTAATCTTTTTAAAGAAATGTTTACATATGACAGTAAATAGTAATTTACAAAATGATGCTGAAAAATATGTAGCAAGAACATCATAATTTGTATTGATGGCATAACAATTGTTAATAATAGCTTAGGCGGAACGTACTTTTCTGCTATGAAATAGATTCCGTTAGTCGATGCAAATTAATACATTACAGAATAGTGGTTTTACAAATTTTAAAAACAATACCTAAATTCCGAATCTGTCTGACAGTATTCATAAACACATGTCGCACTATCTGTTCTACGAAAGGATCTCGGCAGAGTCGTTTGCAATCAATAAGCACGAAGACCTTAATCGCGTGAAGTGCAATTTCTTTTCTCTGAATGAACCAGTCAATAGACAATGGGCTTGGCCCGGCTATTTGGCAGTGGAATTATGCGGTTGAATTTTCTTACCGAAGTTTGTTCTATTTCACGAAAATTTTCTGGTTGTTCAACGGCAAAATTTCCGGCGAAACAGATCTGCCACTTTCGGGAACACTGCCAGGCCCTTTACACGGCTATTGGCAAACAGTAAAGAAAAATCGTCTGTAGACTAAAATGCGGCCATTTTGATGTGTGCCTCTCGGCCACCGTCTCTCATCCCTTCCAAAGGACATCCTTGTACTTGCCAATTTTTTTAAAAGTCCGCAGTATCGATTCCGACTATCGATACTCACGCTCCTTCAAATCATGAGTTTATCAACGTTAACTTTTTACAACATTTCTAATAATAATTTGTGAAACATAGTAATAAATACACACATATCATGTTCTTTCAAGATCGTTACGTTTTAGAATCGATAAAGTATTCTGATAATCGTATAAAGTAAACACTTTCGAAGATGATTCCTACCCTGTAAATTCGAATTTGAAGGACTCAAATGATAACAGAAATGTTTGTAGATGATTTTGATTTATAAATCAAATTTGATCACTATTAGTGCTGAATACATGCATATATGAACTTTACAATTGGTGGCTAATGATAAATAATTATAAAGTTAAATAAAATGGTCATACGGTGGAACCTAAAAATAAAGTCTGCTTCATATGTAAGTCTAATTGACGAACATGAAACAAAATGGAATATGTACTTCAATTAAGTTTTTGCTACGTAAATATTAATTTTATCGAAAATGATATATTTTCTATTATAGTCATAACAATTTATTGAACATGAAGTAATTAATAATCAAGAATTGTTTTATCACGTATATTTTATGTGATATCGCTATTGCCGCATTGTGGTAAATTTGAGCAATATGGAAGCTGGCATATGCGTACCGCAGATTCTTTTAATAAATAAAGAGAAAATAATTATTCCTTATGATAAATAAAATTGTGTAAACAAATTATTTAAATTATGAATACAAGACTTCAAACTTGATTGACATTGCTTTACTAAAAAAGTCATTAGTGTCATCTATGTTGTCTAGGCTATAATTTGGTATATTTCTTTATTTTTATTACATATCAATTTCATCAATGTTTTCTAACGATATCGAGAGTATTTGAAAATTAAGTAACACATGGAAATACCATAAAATGATCAACATAACCCAAAAACATATACTCTTTAATAAATTAAAATTTCAACAACGTAAAATACAAAAAGTAGTTACTGATTTACTTTCAACTATTATTAAACGAATATGTTTTAGTAAACAAATCTGTTTTACATTTATGTACCTATATAGAGTAATTTTCATTATTATTCATTTACTTTCACTACGTCTTTGCATTATTTTCTGAAATACTTTGTGTTAATAATTATTAGGAGTAGAATAATAGAGAGAAGTAACAGGCTATGAAATGTTTCAATTATCTTTTCGTTTATTTTTTTTAAAGCTTATTTGCTATTTTCTTTTAAAATATAAACGTAAAAATGGAACAATCATTTCAATATGAATTTCATTAGTAGTAACCATCAATACATGTCTATTTACAATGGTATATGTACAATAACGCACATAGTAATATAGGTACATTAGAAGAATAACTAATCACATGTATTTTGAACAATATGGTAAAGATGTACACAACAGGGGTATAATAAATAACAATTTGCAATTGAACTTAGAAACAAAGTGAAGATACCTGCTAAAAAAGAATTTGATTTCTAACTTAATGGAGTGTAGAGTGTAGACGAAATTGTAAATGTATTGATTACATTTTTGTCATGTTAATAATTGTAGTTTAATCTTTTCTGAATGTGAAAGAATCTTAAGTTTATTTTATGTTTTTATGAAAAAATTAGTCTTCACGGATGTGGAGGATACAATTCAATGAAGGAATTATGAACAGTTCCCTATTCTCCTCAGACTTTTTTGGCAATTATCTTCACTTGACTTACTTAGGTAAATGGTGGTACAATAAAAGAAATTACAATTTGTGTAACAAAAGTCTGATAATGGTGTTACTTACTCCGACATACTTTTGTTCTTAATATCTATTAATTCATCGTAAAATCGCACTTTGTGTTATGTTCATTCAACTTTCTTATTAATTTCTCTTTGGAGCCAGTAAGCGTCTAGCATCATTGTCTCCGAGACTCAGCTAAGCTCCGTTATTATAAAATAATTTATTAAACGTTTAACGATTTTCAATTTAATAAATACTATATGATATACAATTTCGCTACTCAATTTACAAAGAGCAGAATATAGATATATATTTAGTGTCCCTGTGAAAAGAACTCAGGTTGATTATCTTACTTCGAAACCTATTTAAATATAAAAGGGCCAATGATCACGAGTTTTGATATAAAAATGCATCCATAGGAAATTGAGGCTACACTTGGATATCAGTTCCATGGAAATTTGATGCTAGAAAATCTTTAGATATGGCCCCTTTGTATTTAAATCTGATAAATTTATAATTTCATGGTGGAGATGATATGTTGCAATTTATTGGTATGCTGTTTCAAAGCTTTCTCTGTTTTACATAAATGAATATAAAGTGAATGAAGAATGGATGAAATTGCTTGGGAGAATGCATGTGTAACTTATACGATGTGAATATGATCCATTTAATTGATGCATATGTAAGATAATCTTCCTGATCATTGACGTTAGGACAATCTACTTAATATTTGGTCAAATCACAATCACTGTTTATAAACAGTAACAAGTGACTTTGACATTATTTATTTATATAAATCATTGCTATTACTGTATATTTTTTTAACCCACTTCTATTCATTACGGAGAAACAATAGTTTTTGTGAATCATGCATTGAATAAAACTTTTAACATATCGTTTTTATCATTACTTTAATGAAGAATTACAATGTATACTTTATTCCACATTTCAAAATATTGTCTTCTTTAATAAAGAGTTTTTGATAACGATTCTGATATAACAAATATCATCAAAGTGGGTTAAAAATGAATACAATCTCGGCTCGCATTAATTCTCAATAGCATTAGGCACTGTCAACCCTTCATTGAAGATTTTTTAATAAGTTCAATTCTGTAAGGTAACGTTGAATATAAAAATTAGCTTTTGTCTCGTTACGACAATTCTTGTACGTTAAAATCCAACGTGTCATCGTGTGCATTGAATTCCACAAAAGAAGATTCATTACGACAAAAACAGTTCTATTTTCCAGGATGTTTTAATTTAGTGAATTACATGATAAAATATAGTATGTTCTTCCTACTTACAAAATGTAAATTTTTACAATCTTTCTTTTGAACAGAAGATATGTATTCAATTTCTAATGACTCGCGCCGAAGCGTATTCTCATAACGTTTGTTCATAGAAATTAAACTTCAATTTGGCATTATACTATTAACAACATATACAACAAAATGTACAGAACATATCGTGTGCTGATAAACTTATCTCTTGATTTATATCCTAGATCACAATAGTGTGTATGCTAAAATTTCTACAAAAGATAAAGAAAGAGAAAGACATGGTCAAATAAAATTCATTGTCGATATTATTCCGTTTTTAATGCATCAAGACACTCGATTGCGCAGCTGGTAGAATTGTGCCATGTGCTTAGTATTGTACTTTCTCAGGGCACTATGTTCATTAAATTTCCTTAAAAAGTAGACGAAGTTAGAAATTTAACTATAAGTGCTAATCATTACGCAACAAATACGTTTCAAATGAAAGTGTGCCACGAATGCCTGCATCCGAGACTCGAAGAGTTTCTGTGACTTGCATTTTCAATTCAAAACAGTCAGATATTGTTTTTTACAAATGGTATTCTATTTGTTCTTTACTAGCATTAATTACAATTATTTAAAAACTGTTGCGTTTTACAGCATACAGTAACAATATTATAATAATAAGCTAAGCTGTTAAAAACCATCGGATAATTAAATGAGAAAGCTCAAGATTAAAAATTTGAAAGATTTAATAAACAAATATAATTGAATATCTTGTGTTGCAAAGTCGTGAGAATTGAATTCGTTTACAACAGTTACTAAATCAATGGTGACGAGACTTTATTGTTGTAACATATGTATATATAATCGATGAAAACCATATTTCTACCAACTGTACAGTCACAAAACGAAGAAGAAAACAAGAACGAAAGAAAAAGGAGCATGAGAGCCATATCTCCTTGGTTGACATCCAGAATGCTATTTTGTTTCGTTAGATTTATCAGTTATTATCACTCCGCGCGCCTTGGCAACATACATCCTTAAACGCTAAACATGCTTATCGCTTTACAGATGTACGACTTGCTTCATGGGCTACCTTGTATCCCATTTGAGACACGTCTTCGCATTATTCATTCGATTCTTAGTTTTCTGTGTTTGTTTTATTACTGAAATAATGCCCTGATTATGCAACGGACTCTTAACTTATTTTTGTGGCACCATTGTGATTCACCTTGTGGTTTACAGTCCAGCTATCCTCTTGTATAGTTTTCAAATATTCTTCTAACAACGATGCCAAATTACGTCTTTTAAATCGTAACGATTCTTTGACGATGTCTCGCAAAAACGCAAGTCGTATATCTAGAGTCCCTTGAATTTGGTGTAAGTGTGAAAATAATGTCGCATAATCTGAAACAAGATCACGAAATGTTACTGATAATCAAATCTCTCTTTTATGGATTTTTTTGGTTCATAAACGCTTTGTACAAGATTATAATACTCTTTACATTGCTACTGTTGGAAGTTGAAAAGATTGGACCTAGAAAAAATTGAGTTTTCCTATAATATGTTTGAAAACAAAAACAATTACAACCAGGGTTATCTGTTGCTGGAATTCTGATGTACAACTACCAAAGCAGGTATAGACTCATTCGAAATCAATGACTAAACATCTACCTTGAAGAGTATTTTGCCTTTACCATGGTATCTATCTAACCTTGTGTTTCTAACTCCCAAGAGTATTCTGCACATGAGAAAGTAACAAAAAGAATCCATATCAACTTACTTGTACCTCTTCTCCGTACTTGCTTATATACAAGCTCCCGAATGGATAAATTATGTTTCCTAATATCTTCTAGTTCTTTCTTCGTCAAAACCTTGTCCTTCTCCACCTTCGGCTCATGCTTCTCCTCAACATGATTAGTTAACCTTTCGTCAACTGAGTTTTCAACGTACACACTATTTTCAACACAATCGTTCAGAGGTAGTTTGTTACACTCGGGTTTGATGTTTTCAATCTTCTCTGGTTTCGTTTCATTCTTAGGTGCGTCGATATTGTTAACTACTGGCGTCAGAGTCGGTGGAACGTCCATGTGATGGTTGTTAGTATGCTCTACTGGAATCGGTTCAAACACTGGTATCGTAGGCATTTCTGCAAGGCCGTTTACCAATTTCTCTGTTGAATTCACTGTCGACGAGTTCGATATACTTGGTGTGACGGCGCTCACAGTATTCAGTGGAACTTGACTTAAATCAGCGGCTGGGGTCACTTGGTTTTTTGTATCATCCACCCAAGGTATGGGCGAACTAGGTGGAGTATTGGTTGGTGTATACGAAGGTCTCCGTACAACCACATCCTTAGGAATTGGACCCGGTTTTCGTTTATTCGGCGGCGGTTTCGAGGCTAGCGATCCTCCTCCATCTGAAGCTGGTAACGTACGTTTAAGACCGCCCTTCGAAGTCGAAGACGTCGCTCCAACCATATCGATATCTGCTTCGTCAACCATCATCCTCTTATCTATCTTGAAAGGATTACCTGAAATCAAACGGCAAGGAATAAAAACATCGTCTAAACTGTTTGTTTCCGGTTGTTCGGAAAATAATCGTGTATCTTCTTAACCTTTCTTAAACTTTCGAGTCTTTTTAGTGTTTGTGTAACTATTTTGATTCGCAGTTGATTTTCCGATTGACTAAATGTAAGACTAATAGGAGATGTTAAATAATTACCAAACATATGCTGCCTAACTGGAACACTCTCGATCTCTCTCAAAGGCGGAGTCATACGTTTCAAATATTCCTGATAATTTCCCATCTGTGCTAGGGGCATCGAGTGTACGTAATCATCGTCAAGTAATTTGGTATGTAAGAGTCCAGGTTGCAGAAAGTTGGCACGCATTCTCACAACCTGATCCAACAAGGACTTCCGAGGAACATCGAAAGCGTTCCTGTAACTCTGTGCACCACGTTGTTGACTTCGAACTAATCCGACTACAAATCCACCAAATTCGTTTAGTTGATCCCTTAGTCCAGTAAACTTATCCTGTAGTAATGGGTGTGATACCTATTAAGACGAGAAAAACAGAATTAATATTTCCATCCTGGATGATTATAAAACAGAAGGGCAATATTTTAAAACATTTACCAAATCCTTCTTCAGTGGAGTTCTGGGAATAACTCGCACTCCATCTGTTATTGTTGTCGTACTACCATTTACTAAATTCTTTGTCATATTGGCGGCAGCGAGTTGTTTGGAAAGAACTTCATTGCAAAGTCTATCGAATTCAATTTTAGCTTGATTTTTCAGTCGTTTCAAGTAATTTAAGACACTATAGGACAAAGAGTTATCCATGTTATCAGGAATCAACGTTTGTGCTAATGGTGCTGGCGCACCCATTCTAGTCAAAGCCCTCCTGAGAGACTGCAATCCATAAATATATAGTATTAACGTATATTAAAGCATAAACACACAATGTACTATTTTAAGATCAATCAGTTACATACCGCCGCATAATATGTCGGCATAGTTCTCATATAATTCTGAAATTGCGTCCTCCATTCATTGGTTGGTTTCAATCTGTGAACCTTGAATAGTTCTTCTAATAAAGGCAAGAGTACTGGGTAATTATAGGGCATTACAAACAGATTCACGCATGTTAAATTAGTGCTTGCTTTTAAATATCCAAACGGATGACCCACGTCGCTTGATTTATACGAGTTGGCTACAAAAACTTGCCAACAAACCGTTGGCTGCTTTCTGGCTAAAATATATTGCGTTAATGGACTCGGTTCTAATTCATATTTATCGAATGGTAGATTTTCTATCACCATGGGCTCTTGGCTAGTACAAGTGAATTTAACATTAGGATGCGCTGATCTTGGAGGCAACGAACTAGCACTCAGGTCGGGCCAAAAGCTTTCAGGAATCGGCCAGAATCCGACTGCGAAACCTTTCTGTGCAGACCGTGGAACATAGATCAATCTTCTACACGAGTGCCATGCTGTGTTTCCTGGTATCGATGGATTAAGCGGATATTGTGAGCGAGTTCCATTTGTTGCGTTATTCTCGTCTTCATTTTCGTCGTCATCCGCATGTAGCGCTTCGTTTGTTAATGGCGGGGGATCTGGTCCGATCTTTTCGAAATTTATCACTACTCCAGATTGAACCTTCTGTACCAGAGAGTCTATGCACTGCATCATCATTCTAAATGATGTTATACAATATGAACGACCTACAAGAAGCAAGCAATTCTTTGAAGAAATAGTTTCCATGAAAAGGCACACTAAAATGTGTTATAAAAATATTTCTTGTACCTCCAGTAACTTCACACATAGCATCTATAGGAGATGAGTCACTTGCAACTAAACCAGTATCTCTCTCTACAGCTGGTGTTCCAGAGAGCCGCAATACCAAAGAAAATAATCTTTGGTCCCATCTGAATGGTTCCTTTGTCAGTTCTGATCCAGGTATTGGAGAATGCATTGGCAATGTGAGCTATCAACAAAAATTTCAGTATTTATTGCATGTGTTATGAGATACAGAAATAAGTGTGTATAATGTCATTATTTTTTAAATGTTTAGTACACTTACATCTTGATTTACCCCACTATTAGTCGTGTACTTTCCTCCATCTGTAATGACAACAATTACCGATGGCTCCAAGTAGAAGGGACATCTTCCTTGACCATATGTGTCTATACCAGTCTGCATTCGGTTTATGTTCAGAACATCTAAAGCATGTTTTAAAGCAGCACCTAATGTTGTCAGTCCGACACACTGTAAGTTTTTAAGCTCGTTCATAAAAGTTGCTAAATTTTCTTTCCAGCCAGCCTAGAATGAAAAAAATTTATTTTTAATCAGTCGTTCTATTATAACAGTAAAAGAAATTAACTAATTTAACTGCTCTAAGAAATAAGTTGCTCTTCCGTAACGGAAGATACGACAAGTGCAAGCTGCATTTTGCTGCTTTCTTGTTGAATATCAATTATTCAACGATCGAAGGGGACAAACAATATGGCAATCGCCACGAATACATCGTTGTCGTATTCGACAATAAGTCATAAATGCGTTTGAAAGGGAAAACTGAAAAGACATGGGAAGGGAGGGGGGAGATAAATGATTAAGGAAAGTCTTGTATATGGAATATCATTAACATGGCTGTTAATCAAACCTGGGTAAAATTTCAAATAGAATCTGTAGAGAAACTATTTTAGGTATTGGATGTCCAACATATTTTGTATTAAATTCTGCAGTATGTTCAACACTGAAGATCTGTTTAAATTGTACAAATTAGATGAGGAACCATAAGAAAAAGTATTACATCGGTGATTCGATACTACAAAAGTTTCTGCTTCCTCTTGACTGAACAATTACTGTTTGTATTTATAAGATGGTAAAGATACATAAACCAAAGACTACACTTTGTCACATGGTATTTAGATATACAGCTACAAAACACAATATATTAGAGTTGTAACCAACTTTTCAATCTTTCATTTTTGTTTTCCTTAATTTTAATCTGGTGTCAATCTTATTATCCCCCTTATAAGATGTAAAATGTAAATAGTCATCACTATTTAAAATAGCATTTCAATTTTGCTTTGGATAGTAATCGTAAATCTGGGTACACTTACTGCAAATGTTTAGACAATCCTGTATACCATTGCATGAAATCAGCAGTCTATTCAAGAGAATGTAAATAAACTACTAATTGTTCCAATTACAGTGGATTGATATTGAAAATAAAACAACTTGTATACTATTTACTATTCGAAAGGAATATCTTACCAAAGTCCTGTAGCTCATAGTGTGTATATATACCTATATGTGTGCCTCAGGTGAAAGGAGTGAGTGAGTGAGTGAGAGTGAGAGAGAGAGAGAGAGAGAACGAGAGACAAAAAGATCACAGAAAAGAAAAGGACAACAAGTGGGAAGGACACGACGTTAAAGATGAAGTGAAATACGAAGGAAAACATACCTTGATGTTCTGAGGCGGATCTTCGAAGGTCAGGAGCATATACCGATCTCCGCGACTTTCTGGCGATCTCTGTCTCACCTGAAAAAGTAAGCTTGAATGTGAAAAAAGATCAGTGGTGAGGGAGGTAATGCAGGGAGCCGTTATCCACGTTGCTCCGTTTCTGTGACGAGGATGGTGCGAGCCAACGACGACTCTCGGGCCTGAACACGACGGAATCGAGGCTCAGCCGGGAGAGCCGGGAAAGCTGTGACTCTGGCGTACCTTCACGAAAGTCTCCACGGCGCTCTTGGCTACGTCCAAAAGCGTGGGTCGCCCGCCCAAATATGCCCTCTGATTCATGGAGGCCGACGTGTCGATCAAAAAGACTATTATGGTCATCTTCGCGAGGCGAACCCGCTCGTTCTCTCGAGGTCGTAACTGCGGCCCGAGACCTCCCGTAGCCAGAACTAGCTAGCTAACAACAGCCCTACGACGGCGTGGCGCATAGCTGCTTCGACCATTGAACGCTCTCTTTCCCTCTACACCGAACCGAATCTACTGTTACTACTACCGCGCGCCTCCGGTGCTCGAACGTGTCTGGTGCGGAGCAGCGCAGGATAGCAGCTGAAACGCAGCCACGAGATCACGAGTCGTCGTGAGTCGGACAGGTCCGTCTGCCAGTCTACCGCTTCTTCCCCACTTCTCTTCTTATTATCAAGCCCTTCCTTTATCTTCCTCTTTCCTTGCCCTTTTTCCTTCTTTCTCCTTCGTGGTCGGTATCTCCTCTTCTTTTCTATGATTTCTGTCTTCTATGATCTTCCATCTCTTTCCTTACCGTGACATGTGTAATCTCTCTCGCTTTCTCTATCACTAGTCTCCTCTTTCTCTGTCGCTGCGTAGCGGGAGCGAAACTCGACCTTCTCTCTCCGGTGTCTAGCTCGTCTCTGTTGATGATACTCTTGTCCTGCTCGTGGTTGACTGCGTCGTGAGCCACGTGACCAACTAACACTGGGTCCCATTGGCTGTACCACCTCCACCGTAAATTTGTCATTGCTCGTTCGAAAAGCATCGCGTTCTACGTGTGTGAGTGTGTGTCATCACGCTGTTTACTTCTAACTGAATAGGGCTGGTTGGTTTCGCCGATAGATTCGCGTGGTCTGCCTTTTCGAAATAATGTTTCCTTTGATGTTTTCTTGAAGATATTATTTTCTTTCACTCTGGTATACACATTAGTCCCATTTGAAAAACAATATCGAGAATAATAATAGTGTGCAAGAGAACGGAACGATGAAATAATCAATGCATAAACATGTTAATTTCACGATAATCTGTTCTCAAATTGCATGCCACTATGTTTGAATGGTTTAAATTCTTGCATTTGCTTTAATGCTCCTATATTTTCTGTCAGCAATCCACTTATTGAAAGTTAATATGTAATCATTTCATTGATCGTCAACCTCGAGCATATTTAATTTTTTTATAGTACCTTAAATGAATGTGTTGAAATTATTATTACTTGAGATTGTTGTTAGTTTGACATAGTTTTATATAGAGATTATGCCGAATAAAAGAGGAAGAGGTATTTTAGATGGTTATTTATTTATTTTAATTTCAAATAAAATTTACATAACCCTATTAGTGTAGTGCGATTTGCGTTCGTTAAAACAGTGTATACACATGCATATATATAAAAATCGAGGTAATATCGCGAGTAATTTGTAATATATTTATCCTATCTTGCTTAACAGGATTTTGTGGTATCTTGGGCGTGTGTTTTTTTGTTATCTTGTTATAACGTTATTATCTTATATAAAGATGCATAGTAGTATAACATATATAACTAAAAATATCATTTCCATTAATTTCGTTTGATTTCGTTTCACTGTTGTTGACGTATTATAGATCGAAACGCTCACATTATTAATTTATTCCATTCTTTCTCATGCAATTGATATAAATCAGCTGATTTGTGGAGACAACTAATAAGAAAATTTCACACAAGTGAATACAGTGGATTATCGCGGATTGGCTGATTTTGAATTCTAAATAAACCGCGTTTGGTCAGATAGTTTATATGTATACATAAAAGTAACACTCAACATAATTATTCAACCCACGTAATCAACTTGAAACTGTCAGGTTGAACGTCATCAACTGAAATGTGAGCTCTCTTGTAATATATTTACTGATGTATTTTATTACATTCAACTGATGTATGAAGGCATCTACGGTAAAATGTTCAAGCTACCAGTTAATTATTGTTTCTGTTTTGCCACAAGATAATACCACAACTATGCAATTTGTTATGACAAAAAAATATGGAAATAGCTCGTGGCACTATCTACGGTGAAATGCTCAAGCTACTAGCCAATTAGTACCATTTTCCACCATTAGAGGGTATGACATTGTTTTCAGCAGCTGTTTCACCAAGAACTTCAGTAGATATGTAATATATTAATTTAAAAATACAACAAGCAGCAATTGTTATTAAATATTATCGAAAGTAGTTTAAGCTAGGTTAAGCTAGGTTTACACGTGAGATATAGAATCTATGCTATGTATTGTGCGAGCCTCTTAGAAACCAAATTGATCGAGTTCATGTGTTAAATATATTTAACTGTATAGTAGCAAAACTTATTTTACATATCATTTATTTACATTTTTTTACCTGTTAATAATAAAGAAATGAAAGGTACATCTTATACTACAATATGCAGACCACATAAGCCAATAAGCGGAGGTTTTCTCTAACGTTCATTCGTTCTTCCGTGATACAATAAAAGCTGTTTCAGAATTGTTATGAATCGACCCTAAAGATTTTAATGATTGACGTGTACAAATTTACTGTGAAGTTGTGTGAAGTTGTGCCAAGCGTGCCAAGTTGTGCATCATTGTGGATCCACAAGGGTTTCGAAGTGAGGTTGTGTTTACAATGGGTACAGATAAAAATAATGAAAATCTCGTAAGTTTAATATCGTTAATTACGCGAGCACAGTGAATTAATACTTAATAAAATAATTACTAAGACGTTACTCAATTTACTATGAAATATTCATTATAATACCTTGCTTAGACATAGTGAATGCGTTGTGCCACGTATGGTACCGTCAGTAACTTGAAATAGTTTTTTAAATAGGAATTTGTAGTCTATTAATTAATTTATTGTGTATAATAAATTTCTTTTCAGTTTTATTGTTTATGTTATTAGTTCGTACATTATATATGTTTTTGATATAAGTTTTTGCAAATACCGGTATGTACTAAGCTTTAGACGCTAAAGCTACCGACAGATCAGTCGTTATGTTATTCTTAATCTATCAATGTTGTTTTCCTTTTTTCTTTTAAATTAATAGGACTTATTATTTCAGGTGATTAAAGTCAATAAGTGGGATGGTTCTGCAGTAAAGAATGCACTCGATGATGTCGTTAAACAAGTACTTACTAGCAAATATAATTATATAGAAAATTTTTCACTACTGGATGGACGATTAGCGCTTTGTGGAATTACTGTGACACTGGCACTCATTGCTCTGCTATGTGATTACCTTTATTCATTTCCAGCATCTAAACCTGTCTTAGCCACATGTGTCACATTATATTTTTTTTCAATGGCACTGTTAACAATATATACAACATACAAAGAAAAAGGAATATTTGTTGTTGCAGTTCAAAGGTACACCTGAGGGTATTTAATTCTCTCTAGTATCGCTTGTGATTTACCATGGAAGTACTGAGTAAAACTTTTGACCTTTCAGAGATCCAGCAGGTTTTAATCCTGACCTTATTTGGGAGGCAAGCTCGTATTTAAAAAAATATGATGACAAATACAATCTTGTGTTATCTGTTAGAAATACAGCTACTGGAAGTGTAAATGAAGCGAGTATTACAAAATCTGTGGCTAATTTCATTGATATCAATGGTGTTGTTATATCAGAGTTAATAGAAAATGCTGTATCAAGTATGCATGATAGCTTAAGCAATCAGCGCAAAGAGAAGTAGCAGCAAAAGATAATATTCTTCCACCAACTGAACTTATCATTCTCATTATGATTTTTTTTATGCTTCATGTATTCCCCATTGATGTAAATACAATGTGAGAATAAAGTCCAGTGGTTTAAAATTATGTATGTATTGTAATACATGTTTAAATACAATAGAAAAACAAATATAAACTTTTACATAGCCGTTAATAAAATAAAAACTTTCTTTATCCACTTACATCACTAGTGAATTATTTACATAGCTACTTCGTTTTATCCGCCAATTTCTCTTTCGCAAAGTATAACTACTGAATTCGAGTATCGCACGCGTACGGCTCTCCTAACAATCAAGGAATATAAAGTAGAGCAACACATGTTCAATGTACATAAATTAATAGAATTATAAACCCATTAATGTGGAGTTAAAATTATTGTTCATTGTTCTCTACGCACAGGTACACTAACATAATAAAATATGCCGTTTTCATACGAAGTCGAAAGCATTCCTTGTTTAATGCGATAAACATACAATTTTGAAAAAGGTTTTTGTATAAATGATTAATAATGATAATAGCCCGGGTAATTTACACGCCATAAAATCGTTCAGTTTTAAGAAAAATAACCGCTTCCAGACCGATTATGATTTATAACTAACGTATAGTCTATATTAACCGTGCGTTGTGTCATCTTCTACAAAGTCGGCTGCTTCTTCTCGCGTCACGCAAACAACGTGAGATACTTTATTTCGGAATTTGACACCGTAAAATTTGTTCGCGTGTTGTAGTAATTCTGGTCTAAAAGATAATTATAACTTTAAGTAATAAACAAAAAAAAAAGTATACTGTAACTACGAGTATTATAAAATTACCTGAACGTTGTTGTGATAAATTGGGCATCGGAACTAAGTTCATGAATCATATCTGCTACAGCTTTTCTGTGTTGCGCGTCCAGAGCTTGATCAATTTCATCAAACAAGTAAAACGGCGCGGGATCGCATTTTTGGATTGCGAATATTAACGCCAATGCTACCAATGATTTTTGTCCACCAGATAATTGATTCATTTCTCGCATTTCAGCTCTGTGACCGGTGAAAGAGACTCGTATACCTAGTGAAATTTAACAGTTTTGGTGTTTTTTTAATTTATTATTTTTTAATTCATTATATTAAACGTACGTATTAACTCACCAACTCCGATAAACCTGTCAGATTCAGCCGATTCCGTCGTTGTGTCGTCTCCCTCCTCGCCATCCGCCGTCTTCATAACTAATTGTGCATGACCCGATGGAACAAGTTTTTTGAACACCTCGCTAAAATATTTGCTTACCTAAAACGGGCCAGTATAAGAATAAGATAAAAGAAAAACAAGAGTGTGGGGTAATATTGTACTGCATACTTGTTTAAAAGTAAATTGTATAGCTTCACATTTACGTTGCTCCAGTACAGACATCAATTCTTTAATTTTCTCATCTCCTCTGTCCAACTCTTCTTTTCTTTTTACAAGTTTTTCTTTTTGATCGCTGAATGACATGAACTGATCTAATGCTTTTTTATTTACATGACTGGAATGAAGGTGAAAGTGTTGTTACACGTTACTGTGGACACTGAAGTAAAAAATTCAAATTTTACTGTTGTTATACCTATATTTTTTTAAATGATTATTTGCTTTTTCCATTTCTTTGAACAACTGCTTGGTAGACATAGCGCTAAACTTAGAATATACTTCGTGACTAGGCAGTGCACCAAGTTCTGTGATTTTTTGTGTACATTCTACTATTTTTTGTTGCAAGATATTCAATTTGCTGGCCAATTTTTCTAGATCCTTAGCATCAGCTTCTATCCTTTCTTGTGCTTCCTTTTCTTTTACCTTCCACTTCTCAACTTCTGCAGATTCTGCTTTTTGCTAAAACAGATAATATATATCGCAAATAATATAAATGTAATTAAAAATTATTTCTTATTTTTACCTTCTTTATAGCGTTAGTAACTCGTTCATTCTGAGCCTTAAAGTCTGCATTCACTTTCACTAGCCTCTTTTCAATATCCGCTAATTGTGCTTTTGACGATTCTAATTGACGTTGACGATCTTCTACTGATATCTCTTGCAGGGCCTGTACCAGTTCATCTTTCCTCCTAACTAAATTGTTGGTCAACAGGTTTTCCAATTTATTTTTCTCAGCCTCTAGTCTCATACGTTTAGCAAATGCTTCTTTATTATCTTTCGTTAAACGTCTTATATCGTCATTCAATGTATCCACCTAAATTAAAATAATCAATAAGTGAATCACTGATCGAATTTAATTATTTTTTCAGTTTCATTTTCAATACCTGGCGTTGATCAGCAACAGATAGTTGTGCCATGAGTTCTTGATGTAATTCGCTTTCTAAACCTTCTTTCGTTGCACGCATCGCTTCCAAACTCGATGTACATTGGGCAAGGCTTCTTTCTTTTGGTGTACGGTATCTTCCTATTGCACTCAATTCTTCCTTCATAAGTCGTATTTCAGCTTTCATTTTATCGTACACGTCTCTACAGTAACAATAAAATTTGAATATTTCTGAAACTTCGTGGACACCAGTAAAATCATGAAATGGTAACTCACTTAGCTTTACTATTTTTAGTCTCGGTTCTCTGCATTTCACTAACGTAAGAACTAATATTTTGGTCTGCCTTCCTGATCTCGTCTTTAAGAGTTGTCAGTTGAGATTCAAGGGATGCAATCTGTGCCATTAATTCCGACCTAGTCTTTTGTATTTCTAAGCGTGACCTTAATGTGTTAAAGTATCCACCCGTTAATGATCCTTTTGATGATACTTGGTCACCTTCTAGAGTTACGCAATCTAAACCAGAAGTGCGGGCTAGATTTGTCGCAGTTTCTAAGTTACGACAAATTAATGTTTTTCCAAAAATATATCTGCATTGTAGATCAAAAATTAAAGCTTTACAATGTATTAAAGTAAATCACATATTGTTAGATATTTCATTTGTCGTTACGCACCTCAAAGCTTTATCGTATTTCTCATCGTATTCCAATTTTGATATCATAGGCATAGCGTCAGGCGTTTTTGGATAATCCATATCTTTTACGTGTAATCGATTCAAAGGCATAAATGTTACTTCTCCCGGAAGTCGTTGATTGTTCATTTCTTTCAAGATTTTCGTTCCGAATTTATCTGTTTCCACGATGTGATGGAACAATCGATTTCCAGCGGTCACCTCTACAGCCATATAAAAATTCTTCTCGCAACTGAAGTTCTCAATCACAGGCCCATAATAGCTACTCACCTCATGGACCATGTCAGTGCGTGTTCTGGAACATAAATGACCACCGGTGTAAAATTGTTCTTTATAACTAGAATCATAATATTTACCGAAACGTATCCAGCACTTTTCGCACGCTATCTCGCCCGTTTAGAATAGGTTTTCCAGCCATAGATCGCAAGCTCTGATCCGCTTTCGCCAAATCTTCTTTGAGTCCCGATAAATTAAGTTGTAATACGCTTTCTTGTCGGTATCTGCAATATCGTAAGTATTATTTGTATTGTGTTATATCTTCAGAACTACACAGAAGATTAAACTGCAAACGAACTGTTCTTTTCGAGTGGCTTGACACTGGTCCTTTGCTTTAGTTAGCTCATAATATTGCTTGTTGTGTTCATCTATCGATGCTCTTTGTTGTTCCATTTCACGCGTGTGCTCTTCGATTTTTTTCTCTAAGACAATTTGTTTCTCCGCATCCTTCTTTAAGTCTTCGCTAATTTTTCTTTGATGCTCTTCCTTATCTTTTATTTGTTTGGTAAGTTGCTTAAGTTCGTTTTGTATCCACTTATCTCTCTCATCCTAATATGAAGGCATTATTAAAGAATTTTGCCTATATCTTGTATATAATAAAGTTATATTGAGTACCCTGCTAGTGAATTGGCTGCCGCGTCCCTGTTTCGCATACAATTCTTTTCGTTTTTGCTCTTTTAATTGTAACTCGCGTGTACACTCCTCTTCTACACGTTTCATTTCCTCGTACTAAAATAGATTGTTAATTAATAACTTCATTATACAAATTTATTCAACATCATATTTCCTGCTGTGCACGTTTCCTGCTGTCATTGTCCCCTTTCACTTCTTCCAATAAATCATTAATAGTTAATGTCAGTTTAGTTTTTTCTTTTAACAACTGTTGCTGTTCAGCACTGGAAATCAAATTTTTATAAATAATCGTAATATAAACAAAAACTAGAACCATCTAAATGAATATTACCTGAGCGTATCTCTTTCTTCTTTAGCAGTTTGCACTTCCTTCTTTGCTTCCTTAAGGCGTTTAGTTGCAGCTCTTACCATTTCCTGTGCAGTTTTTGCTTCTGCGCCTAAACGTGCTTGCTCAGCGCCGCTATTTGCCCTAGACTTCTCCAGCTCTTCTAACTTTCTTTTATTCTCTTTAAGCTCACGTTCGTGAATCGTATACTCTAAACAGCGACGTTGTTTATCCCAGCATTGATATTCTTTAAGTTCTTCCTTTTCTTCTTCTAACGTTTTTAAACGCTCCTCTGCAAGTCAATCATATAGTAAGCTTTTTCTGAAATGTTGTTACAAACTTTAATTATAATTTACCTATTGTTCGTAAAAAGTCTTGAATCTTCTCCAGCTTTCCTTCTGTTTCTTTTAAAATAAATTTTGATTCTTCTCTTCTGTCATCATATACTCTAGTACCAGCTACTTCTCGTAACAATTTAAGTCTCTGAGAATCAGGCGCTGTTGCCATTTGATTTATCTGTAGAATAAAATTTCTTATATGTCCTTATTTTCACAAATTACAAATCTATCATAAACCATACCTTTCCCTGCTTTACAATATAATATGGATTTGAACGTGAAAATCCGGCAGACTCTAATAAATTCATTACATCATTTCTGGTTACGATTCTTTTATTAAGGAAATATTGGTCCTTCTTCGAGCCGATCACTCTCCTCAAGTATACTTCTTCCTTGTCAATCTATAACAAGAAGAAATTAGTATGTAAGACAAAGTTATAAAGCAACTAAACAATATGATATGTTACATACTGGTAATCTTCCATCAGAATTGTCAAATATAATTTCCACATGTGCCGAAATAACTCTTGGCCCTGTACCCTCATGCAATAAAGCCTGTCTCTGTTCTGGTCTGAGATGGGAAAATTCATCGCTTAAAACGAATTGAATTGCATAAAAGAAATTACTCTTGCCAGAACCATTTCTTCCCACTTAAAATGAAACAAATGGCAAATAATTGTTATTTAAAAAGTACACTTCATCAATTTTAGTAAAATACTTATACCTTAGACATACCTACTACATTGTGTCTTGGATCAAAAGGTTCTACTACTGTTTGTTCACGATACGACTTGAATCCCTGAATAATCACCTAATCAGAGAAAAATATATTACAAAGAATATAAAAATATTGATGTACACGTCTGTGACACACATTCATTAAATGATACAAAAATTGCATTAAGTATAAAATTAAGAGTATTGTGAAATTGAATAATAATTGTTACATGTTTCTAATCTCATGAATAAATTTAGGTAGTTTAGCAACATTCTAATAAATTTGTGTCCAACCATTTATAGGTGTACCATTTTGTTTATTATTTGTAGTGGATGCATGATTCTAAGTAAGGGAAAGGATCAATGCTATCTATTCGACAATAATCTTAATCGCATTAAAATTCAACAACAATAACAGTAATTGCTTCGAATGGTGAGCGTCTGTCGAAGAGGAAGTAGTGTGAAGCGCGCAAAAGAAGACGGATCTTCGAAAGGTGTGCTGATTATTAATTTTCAGTACCTGTTTGATGTACATGGTGTAGGATGATTGACACGAGTGTTTCTCGTGTTATCGTTTTACGGTAACTCAATCGGAAAAACAACTTCTCTGTCACTGAACAGAACAAAAATATTCGACCGACTTGTTGGCAAAGCGACATTTGTAAAGTAATCCACAAAACGATAACGACAAAAAGTCCCTATATTTGGGCGGGAGACGTGATTTCGTTGCCATTACACAAGCAAAAAAACACTATGTTTTTGAACGTTTTATTCGACATAAGGGTAAAATAATAACAATTTATTTCAATGAAAAGTTTATTTTAAGAAGAATAGCTGACAATGACTTTATTTCTAAGTTGTTAATACCACACATTCATCAGTGATGAATACTCAATGCATCACTTTGAACTTCATGACTTAACTGTGTCTGCAAATTAGACAGTTTATTTTTCAATGCTGCAATACCCATCATTACGATGTTTTCAGGCTTTAAAGCACCGCTACTTTCAACATTAAAATAGTACTTGTTTGGCTTAGCTTCCCAATTGAACGGTGCTTCATCTGAAATATTTCAGAATTATTAATTATGTGTACCAGTTCATCTTGTAAATATTACAATACATACACTGATCTTCTTCTAATTCACTGTATTCGGATTTTGGCCATTCATCAGGTTTTGGAAACAGAGTGTGTCTCATACAATTGTCTGGATCATATTCGAAACTTACACCAGCAGTTGGGTTCCACTTTGCATGTTCCTTTCCAAAGCCTTTTTTGGCATACGCTCTTAGTTTCAACTCTTGTCCTTTACGTAGCTTCACTATTAAAATCTCTATAAAAAAAAAAAGACTAATTTATATTGCATTTCTTATATCCACATATGTTTCATGATAGAAGTATTGTTTTTAAAGACACCAACCATCTGTTTCTCCATATTCACTGGCATCATCTTCTCTGTGCCTAGATGTAACTGGAAGTACTCTTGGATCACTGGACTTAAAGTCTGCAGTCGTTACATGTCTTGTTTGATCCTCTGTGCATTTTACATCAAGGGTAAACTCCACGCTACATTCTGGACAGAAGTCCATACATTGACAGTCCCTTGTATATTGTATTCTATCTACGACCTGAACAATTGTGGTATATTTTTTCTTCTCCTCTTTAAATTTTAAATTTACTGAATATTCAATTCTTGAAATGATTACTCACATCGTCGCTAATTAAAGGTATCATTCCAATTCTGTGAGCCAGGAACTCGTCGCTTAGAACCGTTGAATTGGCTTCTAACTGAATCCAGTCGATAGCCATAGTAGGTGTTTCGGCGATGAAAACGCGCCTCATACTGTTCGCTACGCTATAAATATTTACAATACATATTTAGTAATTTTAGCTGAAAGACCAACCACAACATAACCTGTTTCACCTTAATTCGGTGTCTTCTACTTGAAATTTGACATTCTCCTCGGTTAAATCCGAGATATGGACCGATGGTTGATTAGCGTACGGCATTTCGTTCAATGCCTTACGTTAAACAAATGGACAAATATTTTTTAATAGCAAATATTCTCGTTTTAAATCTGTCGAACGATACGTCAAAAAATACTTGTTGATGTTTATAAGGAATTCGCTAGTATTCGGTAGTCCCTGGTGGTCCCTGGAAGTACAGCGTACAGCGCCACCACGAAATATTTAAATTACACAACTTTTCACTTTTTATTTTTAAAAATATGACCAAGATCGTTAAGGTGTAAAGTATATTTTATTAAAAAAATGTATCACATTACATATTATTCGGTATAGAATATGAAAAGTAGGCAAACATACCTCGAAGAGTATGTTCGACTAAACACTAAAGAACACGGGAATAAAGTTTAACTTCTGGTAAAACAAATCTCATCAGAAAGATGAAGAATAGTTCGAATGAACGATTCCTTTATCGAGGATACTCAAATTTTAATTGATTATGTTGTATTATTTTATATATTAACTAATAAAATTTAGAAAATTTAATTGCTGTTTAGATAAATTAAAAGCCTGCTTCTTTCCCTCTTGGAATCTTACGTGTAGGAGAATCTAATGCTAGTGTATACGTGTAATTAATTCTTTACGCAATAAATAACGAAAACAGAACAATATGATTTTGGTAATTCTCACTAATCATAAGAAATATAAGTTCTATTGTGATAAAATGTAGTTAGACACCACTGTGTTTATGGCACTATAGTCTTGTAAAAATTGGAAGACTGTGGTGAGATACTATTTCTTAAGTATTTTAAGTAAGTTTGTGCAATTGTAATTAATTTAAATACAAATGTACTCTAAATGCAGCATAAATAGGAACACCGAAACATATCAGAGCTGAAAGTGTAGCATTAAGGAGTATTAAAAATACTTTCACAGATGTAAATTTCTGTTAGGTATTATGAAGAAAAATGACGATTTTGCTAACGTGTCTAGGAATCGACTCTTAAAGTTCATCTTGGAAACGCTCAATATCTTGTAAATGATCTCCGTAATCTGTTGCTTCGCTGCCAACGAAGGCATCGTGATGGTCTAAAATTTCATCAAAGGATAATCTATTATCGTGGTCGTCGTCAGATGCGGCGAACAAATGATCCACTTCATCACTAGCTATTTCTCTGTAATATTTATGATTTTAGTAATACAAGGAATGCTAGAGACTTATAAACTGATGAACAATCATATAAATATTCAACTTACTCATTACTAGGTACTAGCCAAGAAAGTATTTCATCCGAATCTAATCTTCCATCCCCATTCTTGTCATGTTCATAATCAAATTTATCTTTTTCTATCAACAGCCATTCTTTGTTCTCTGCTTTAGCTCTGTTCCCAATAAACTCTTGGAAACTAATGTATCCATCCTTATCTGTATCTTTGTCAACCAAAGCTTGCTTCAGGAGAAGTGGGAACATTCTAGGTGTTTCTTCAGGGTGAGTGTAAGCTTTGAATTCTTCTGTATCAAGGTAACCATCTTTGTTTATATCAGCAGCCTCAAATGTCTGCTTGTCGTCAGTGATAAGCTTATCGTCCACTGCTAAATCTTCTGGATCTGTGCCATATGTATCTTGAAGAACTTCATTCCAACTGACTTTACCATCTTCATCTGCATCAGTATCTTCCAATCGATCTTGAGACTCCTCAGCAGATAGCATGCTGTTGCCAGAACAAATATGCATTATCATTTGTTCGTAATAAGCACACAGTACTTCAAATATATGTACCTAAATGATCTTAAAATCCATGCTTTCAGTTCATTCCTCTCAATGACTTTGTCATTATTTAAATCCATTTTGGTCAATAAAATTCCCAAACGTCTTTTAGATTCCTTCATGGGAAGTTTGTCAAACTCCTCTGCTTCTTTCACGCTTCCTGTAGACAGATGTGTAAGTTGATTTTTTCCTAGTGTTCTTTGTTTATAATTACGCTATTTACACAAGAACTTGAATTTCTTACCGTACTGAATATTAGATAATTGTTTACATTATAAGTGCATGAAGTCCATAGTTTATGCAACATTGATAACAAAAACTAACTTCTTTCAATTATATTCTATAAATGATATATAGGCATAATTACCCAGGATAGCTTCATGGTCAAATTCTTGGTGATGTTCTCCTCCAGCATAGTGGTCCATGTCTCGTGGACTGAATGCACCATCCTCGGTTCTTTCATTACTATTGGGTTTGTTATGCTGATGAGTGTGTATATGTGCGGACGCTGCATTTCCGAATGAAAAGAATCCGAAGACTATGACAAGTAGGAAAAGCAGAATCCTTAGACGCATTCGGCGTGTATACATCGTAAATTTGAGTAATAATTCTGCAAACGAGAATACAAAAAGCGGATAACCTCACATCAAGAATTTGACAGATATGCTGATGTCTGTACCGAACATCGTAACGAACCTTATCGATTGCGTATCGTTACGCGTACGTATAATCGTTCTCGAACACCGATCTCGTAGTTTTCAAATCTAACGATACTGGAACGTTTCTTTCATAGTCGTTAGAAAGTAACGGTTGTTTGTGTCTAACGTGCTCTTCAATTGTTTAAAAACATTTCTAGTGAGTCTGATTTTAAGTTGGAATGTGATCCAAAATGCCTTTGATGCTTATCTTGAGAGCGAAAGTCGTCAATGTGAATATCATAAAACTTATTTTGAAGAATATTTCGGTCGTTATTGCCAATATACAAACTGTGACAACAGACAGTGTCTTCTAAGAAATTATATGACGTTACTAAATCTGTTTCCGTGTATCTTTCTAAGCTAATTAGCATTTAATCAATCAATTTGAGTTGTTCAATATAAGACTGCGTGCTAACAAATTAAATTTGTTGGGGCCAATCATTTAAAAGAAATGTTTAAAACCATGTTTGTATATAAAACTGATTTACTGTTAGACGCTAGTAATCAAAGATTTGTTTAATTGCATCGTCTCCTACAATTTGCATCAAATTTCGTCCAGAAAGTGGTAGTCCAGATCGCGGACTCCTCTTATAAGTACTAATTAAGTTTACGTACCTTTTCGAAAATGTTCCACTGTTAAAAGCGGATGGTCATTGCGTTTCACGACACGAAATAGAAAAACCGGTCGGAAATTATCTTTGCCCGGAGAATGTTACTGTTGTACGCGCGTGTCGGAGTATCTGTATCAGTTTCTTGGACTTGCTCGTGAAAAGGAAGCACGGAGAAAAAAAGATGTCTTGTCTGCTTTAGCCGCGATCAGTATGTGTAGTCATGACTTTGTTCTAGGGTGCTGGTACAAAAATAGACTAGCCGTACTAACACGCGTTCAATTTATTTCTAACTTTAGTGATCGTCCGATGAGAGCGAAAGAGATGCTCACTGAGCAGAATATCACTGCGGGAAATATTGCTTTCTTTTTTAATTTGTGATAACAAACTGCATCTAGTATTGAGGATGCAAACCAGAAGTTCACGTTTCTGAGATTTAACAGATTTCAATTTTTATGTTTTTTACTTGGTCCATAGGGCAAGGTTAAGTACGGTTGCAATGATATACCTTTTATCATTTTCATTGAATAATTTTAGACATTGATTTAACCACCCTCAAAGGACTAATTTATCGAAGGTCATAGAGAGAAGTCTACTTTTGTCAATCTCTTACTCCTGTTTACAATACAGTGGAGTTTGTATGTTGAAAATGAAGAGTGTAAAGGGTGTACAGTATAAGCACCGACTAGGTATAGAATAGACCTATCATCCAATGCTTTTTTTTGTCCCACGTTCGGAGGGCTACGTAACCCTCTTGCAATTTCAGTGCCAATACCCGACGTTATCGATAAAGCATGAATTCTGAGTATTATTAGCACAAATGGAACAGAAATATCCGATGCTTCGGTTTAAAGGATGAATATTGTAATTGTTAAACTTTGAGGAAGGGTTGATTCTTTTTTTTATTAGCAAAAGAAATAAACTTATTTATTAATTTAAACTAAGACTATACCATACAAAAAATAATAAAGAATCGAGAACAGAAAAACACGTTGCTACACGTGGCTTACATTTTAAGGGCATACTTCGAACTGCGCACCTTTGCTAGCGCCTCTAACAAAGAACTTTTGCCAACCTATAAATGTATAAAACAGAAGAAATTCAAGGATGCCAACCTAACTTAAATTATTTCTTATGTAAGCCACCTACCAAATACACAAATCATATTTTTAACAGTAATACTGATGAAATATGATAACTTATTCTAAATTCCATTGTTAGTGAACATTTTCGTAATGTTATGTTTCCCACGTTCCCTTTTTATTCGTTTTAATATTTTTTTTATCTGATAACGTTGTATAAGAATCTTAATACGCACAATCAATTACCTTCTGGCAATTGGTGAGGGAGTAATTAAACAATGAACTTCGACCCAACTAGAGCTCAGCTAGTCAAGCTTTCTTCATGAAAAGTAGTTTTGATCTATTATTTAACTGGTGATATTTGTCAGATTGTATTTCATAAAGTTTGGCGCCATTGTCAAATTGACAGTTTATCATAGGTGGCGTTTGAGAACCATTAGAAGATTGAAAACTTCGAGAAGACGGCAGCAAAATTAATATTTTCCATCTAAACCGAATTGGAATCACATTTTCGGGAATAGTGTGTGCCTCTTTGTTTCCCTTTTATGATAGACATTCCCTTCTGAATTAATCTCGGATGCGTATGAGAAAAATATATTGAAATATAATTCGGCGGTAAATATTCTATTTCGTTCAAATAGAACGCGGAGTGAGCAGGGAGGCGACCAATCCTCACATTCTTCACCAACCGACGCACCAATCACAGGCCTTATACATAACCGAATCAACCAATGATAGCCAGTCAACCAGCCTAAAGGTCATTCGTCTCAGGGAAGCTGGACTGTTTAGACGTGTAGTGATCTCGCTCGTGGCAAAGTAAGTATTATTACTTTTCATGTTAAATTATTTATGTTATTAATATCCACATTAGCACTCTATCGTTACTTTCGTTTAGTATCTATTCAATTCAGCGTAAATAATCGTAAATTAACTCGGTATTGCTGGATAAAGTGAACCGGCTTCACGATTTCTGTTCTCCCCCCGATACCACTTAGTATTTACGCAGTTTTTGATCAATTTGCAATCTTTGGCAACATTCCTCGAGTCAATAATTGTTTCCTTTTTATTCAATCATTGTGAATTTAGTATAACTACTTCGTATTAATGTGTATTTTCTGTTTCAGAATGCCGGCTAGAAGGAACGCGCCACCGATGAGACTGTGGACTCCCATTAGAAGCAATTCGGCGGGAAACTGGTGACTTTTGGTAACGTATTAGAACAAAATAGGTGAAACATATTTCTATTTTATTGCATTTTCGTTGTTTTTACATTAAACATAATCGTGACTTCATAATTAGTTCTGCTAAAATCAAATAAGAAGACTTTGGAGAATTATTGCACATTCAAACGCGTAATTGAAGCATTCAACATGGCTTCCTTGTTAGAAACCGTTAGAAACCGTTAGAAACTTTAAACGAGATGCTTCCAGAATTTTCAGTTAGAAATACTCGTACCGTACTGCATCTCGGTCGCGAAATTATTTCAATTTTAATAACTTCACCGGTTTATCTTTATGATGTTATCGTATTTGCATTTATATACAGTTTCGGATGTAAGTGTAATTATATCGAAGCTGCGTAATTTATCATGCTCATCGAAGCTTGACTAAATTACGAAATTTTGATATTTGCAATAATTTCCGAATATTTATAAAATTCGGTACGCGATTTAGACAAAAAGTACGAGTAAACGTATTCTTAAATTCTAATAACGAATGTCTTCAATACAATATACTAATAACAAATATATATGAGTAATAAATACAGAGAGATGAGAATTACTTTGAAATATTTTGCGTAGGTAAATTCACATTTGCATTTTAACGCATATTTATCATTGAATGACAATTTTTTCAACGTAAACACTTGGTCTATATAAAAATAAAAAGGATAAGCCGGTGCACGTGCGCCGTATTGTGTTTGTTTCCCCTCCTTTTTTTTTTCAGAGTTTGGTGGCCGCGCGCAAGGCGGTCGAGTCGAGTCAGTGTTTACAATCGTACAAGTTGTTTATGTTTGCGCGCAGCGAACTGTCTCAGATTACAATCTCACCGGAGATGTCGTTAGGTCCTCGCGAAAGTCGAGTCAGTGTTTTTTGCGTACAATCGATTACTTTCAGAGTTTCGGGACACTCTTTGCTTCTTTAGTCGCGAAAATAAAGTCATTTGTTCGCCGGCTTGGATGTTCGGTCGCGATAGTCTTTTATTTTTATTTTTTCTCTATTTGAAAGTACTCGTTCGGAAAAGTAGAGTCAGTGCATCACGGAAGAGGATGTTTTTGGGCGAAGCTATACAAAGAGAGATTGTAAGTATCTTTATATTTTATTATTTACACTGTTCAACTGAAACAGCTAGAATTTTCAGAAGAGGTTATAACGAATTCTGTTCCTTTTTTTTCAGATTTTTCCAGATACTGCATAAGCGACCACTACAGAGGATGTTCTTAAGCGAAGCTACACGATTTTTCGAGATTCTTCGAGTCTTATAGGGAGCTCTTCTATCATCGGGTGAGTCGCATGCTTTTATTCCTCCAGTCCCCAATCATGTCGTAGGACGATTAGTCCGAAGCGGCACGGGCGACAGGTTGTATACGTGCTTTTGGCGAGTACAGTGAACGCGGATATGCAATCGTACGATTGTGTATTCGCGAGTAGTATTTGATCTGTTATTTTTCTTAGTTAGGTTAGGGTCTTCTTGTACGCCGCGCTTATTATTAGTAATATAATTCATAAATATTTTGTATTCAAAGTATATTTATGAGTTAAATATTCAATGTTTGATATGATGCAGACGAAACCACATTGGATATTTTGCATTTTTTTTAGTGCTTCAATTTAACATGAAATCTTGACATTTCAAGATAGAGCGATCTATTATTTAAATAATTGTTATTTTTTTATTAATTGAGTATATGTCGTGGTAGTACGTTATTCATTTCACTAAAAAATGCAGTAATTTGAAGATGATGCGTATAATAATTTCATTGTAGTCACTTCAGTATATTGTATACTCATTTCCATTTATGAATATAGCATGAAATAGTTCTACATAAAGAGAATTACATAATATAGAAAATACAATAAATTCGCAATGGCCTATAAATAACGGTCAGCTGATAAAAAAAATAATATTCATATCATTAATGTGTGCAAATAAGTATCGTCGGTAGATTCGAATATAAAGTAGAAAAAACAGAAACCACACCGGTATGTTTATGATAGAGAGGAAAACGTGGTGGTACCTTCCTGGATAGGCATGTGTAGCAGTTAGCGCAATACCACGAGACGCGACAGCACGTTTCAATCCCGGAACCAGTGTCGCGAGACACAAAGGTATCATTCGTATTTGCAAGTTCCATGAAATAGTGGAACACGTGTATTGGGAATCGCAATAAAGTATCGGTGCATAAAAAGAAGACGTATTAAGTTATGTCACCTGTGCATCGATATGCACGCCCTAGTGAAAAACCGCGTGTTATGGAATAATTTAACACGTTGTGCATGTATGACCATTGAAAAGTGCATTGCGATTTCCAGTTATCGTGGCCGATGTTTTCGTTGCCACTGGCAAAGAACGCATACGGTTACGTACACGGGTAGAGTAATGAGACGTACTGGCGAGTACTCACGACCACTTTAATGGAGTGTGAGCGTTAAATGCAGGGAAGGTACTACTGTGTTTCACCAGCATGTATTGTGTTCCACAAACATATTTGTGTGGTAGACGTATATACTCAGAAAGAATGAGTATTTATATCCTGTCCTTTAAGAAGGACAGGCCCAGGGGTGTCCATCTACTACTTATGCGCAGCATTCTTCCTCTCCGGAGGTACCCTCACTATGGTACTTGGATTGACTCGCTCGAGTCAATTTGAGGTCGGTAGTCTGGAAAACCTACGAGGGGAAGCTTGTAATTGCTTGTGGCTCGTGGGTGGCATTTGGACACCTTTGGTATTAGATTTAATTTTTATGATTTTTAGATTAATGTTTAGTATGTTAATAAAATTTTATTTCACCCGTTAGTGAGTTAATTATTATTTTCAACAGTTATACCGTCATTTGTAGACAAATAACGCAAAGGAAAATAACTTAAACTTATTTACTATTTGAATACAGTACTTATATGCATAATATGTATGTATATTAGTTTATTGTGAAGAAATTTAAGATTAATATGTCTTCATTGATATTTTTA